CTAAGTTAAGTAGTTAGTTAACAAATTCCTTCAAAAAAATTTCAAAATTTTCAATGTTACAAAATTTAATTTGAAATCTCATTTTCTTTTAAAATTCCTTAGTTCCAAACAAGTGAATTTCTTTCTGAAATTTAATTTGTGTGCAATCACACTCTTTAAAAAATAAAAGTACATTGAAACTAAAAAAAATTATGTTGAAAAGAGATTCAACAAATACACTTAATTCTTATTTCAACGCATAAAACATTATTAAAATCTAGACTAAATTTGTTAAAATTTAGAACAAATATATTGAAATATGATTGATGTGTTAAAAAATTTCCTTTACCTTATACGTAGTATTAGCAAATCAATATATACACTATTTTTCCTAACAATAAAAAATTACAACTAAACATTGTTTAATATTCTAAATACTTTCTTATTTCTCAAAGCAGACGGTTTGCTAAAAAGTCCCCAAGCATGGGGTTTTGAGTGCCATCATTTCAGCAAACCGGTTTTGAGTGCATCATGCATCACAAAGAAAGTGATGAACTAAAAAGAGAAAATCACTCTCTTCTTTTCTTTTTTCTTTTTTTTTTTTAAAAAAAAATGAAAAAAAGAGAGAGAGAGAGAGAAAAGAAAAGAAAACGTGTTGATCTCGAGAAGAAAAAAATATTGTGGGCTCAAGGGCTGCTGGAGCCTTATTGGTAGAAAAGAAGAAAGAATAAAGTGTGAAAGAAAGGAAGGAAAAATTTCTACGTCTGATACAGAGAAAAGAGAAAAGATGATAGATGAGACATTCATCCTTTTTTATAAATTTGGACCTAATACATAAAGGGATAGAAACAAGATTGTTACCAAAAAAAAAAAAATTACAATACTATCCTTTATAATTATTGGATAAACCCATTATTAGTAATCTCTCTCTTCATTTTGATAAACATGAGAGAAAATAAATGAAATGATAACATTAGTTATAAGATAAAATAAATGAAATGATAGCATAAGTTATGAGAGAAAATAAAGAAAATGAGAAAAGAAAGAAAATGATAATATTCTTGTTTAGAAAAAGATAAAGGAGAGAAAAGAAAAAAAAAGAAAAAAAAAAGTAAGAATTAAATTGTTATCATGACATTTTTATAAAATGTTATGAGACTATAGTCAAATGTTATAAAATGGTGGTTTCATAATTATAAAAATATTACTTAGTCAACTATCTTTTCTTTCAAAATCTTCTCATTTCTTTTTTTTTTTTTTTTTTTTGGAGAATAGCACATGCTATCTCTTTAAATCTCTCCCAACATTTCTTTTTCTTTTCACTAAAAGATATTCAAACAAGATTTCCACTATACTTTCTTTTCTTTTATTTCTAAATATCTTCAAATCATTCAATCCAATCTACTAACCAATAATAAAAGCCCCCAAAATTTTTATTTTCTTATGATATTTTCTTTATAAAATTTTATTTGCTTATGTTATTATACCCCAACTTAATAGGAGGTCTCAAAAAATTTTATTTCCTTGTAGTATTACCTCCATAAAAAATATTTCCTTATTAGACCTTGAGTCTCAACCAATAATAGAGATTTATTAGTGACCCAAGAAATTAACTCCTTTATTCAACCTTTTATTTTTTTCCTCCTTTCATTCCACTTTTTTTTCTCCTTCGTGTTATATTAATCATTGTGTATATATATATCTATTGGACTAATTATATTATATATTGAAAAAAAATAACAAAACTTTAAGTCAAGAATTTAATTAATAATTTTGTATCTCATAAATCAAGAAGGATGATTTTTAAATAAACATAATTAACTACATTAATGTATTACTTTTAAAAAGACCACTATCATATTGCCTAAAATCTCAAATTATATTGAGTCGTCGACCGTAATGATTTTTTTAAATAGTCTATTTGGACTCCAGAATTTTCTTTCAATTTTTTACATTCAATTTCAAATGAGTGGTATTAGAAAAATTCATCAACTGTGCAGTCGCGCCAAACAACAGGAATTTGTTATTCGGGAAAATTTTGGTTCCTTTTCATTCAATTTCTTTTTAAATAGGGCAGAAACACCCCAGTACCATTTTTTTTTAAAAAAAGTAAAAAATAGTTAAAAAAAACTGTCCCGTCTAACAGTCAAAAAAAAAAAAAAGTAAAAAATAATTAAAAAAAACTGTCCCGTCTAACAGTTTCTTGAAAAATGTTTTGGCTAGCCACCGTAAATTAAAAAATATATATATGATTCACCGGAGAGGAGTCAAAAAAAAAAAGTAAAAAATAGTTAAAAAAAACTGTCCCGTCTAACAGTCAAAAAAAAAAAAAAGTAAAAAATAATTAAAAAAAACTGTCCCGTCTAACAGTTTCTTGAAAAATGTTTTGGGTAGCCACCGTAAATTAAAATATATATATATGATTCACTGGAGAGGAGTCAAACCTAATTTGCAAGTTCTCCGGGCTTTGGTTGGTGAGCTATCCCTCTATTCAATACACAACTAGAAAATGTGACCTAGACCAGAGAGTTCTCTCTCCAGTACACACAACAAGAAAATAAGACACAGATCCACCTATAATATTCAACTTATTCCTTTTACTCCACACAGCTGCAAAGACGTTGCTGATGGGGACCCGACCATTGAAACTGAAAATCCTCTCTCTTTCAAGAAAGCAACATTAATGGAGGGTTTGGAACGTTGAAGTGAGACATTCAAGAAATTTTCAAATTGAGCTAACGGTGTCTAACCTAATTTTTCACTTCCACGCATTTGACCGGAATTGCTTTTACTTTAGTCTTTGTCTCCTGGACTTAATATTTGATAACTACTTTTACTGCCTCCAATTATTGAATCCAACCAATATGTGCTCAAATTCTAAACTTTAACGTGCCAAGAAAATCGATGACATAGCAATCATCTATTAATAAAACACTGATGCAAATTGATTGATGACATAGACGACAAGGTACTTTCGGTGCAATGAAAAAGATAAATCCCAATTAAAGACCATTATTCAATTCAATGTTCATCCTGCCAATACCAACAGACTTGACATCTGCAATTGACATTTGATGTGGTGAGAAATTTCATCTTCCTGCATATTAATCAACACTTGTACTGTTGAACCAAGCAATGGTCCCTTAACAAATCACCAATTTGTTTTGGAACACTGCAGATTTGTAGAAAAATGATAGAAGTAGTACCGCTGTGTCATTTGCTTTTCTTTTGTTACAGCATCATGGCGGTGCGAAAATCACATTAACATGTTTTCCGTGATTTGACTTCTAAATTAAGTATACAATTATAATTTTGATTCGTTGTAGTCAAACAAAATAAAAAGAATGACGATAATAGGGTCTTTTATTTGGAGAATCTGGACAAAAAAATTAGGATGTGTGGGGCTCACACTCCCTCCATCTCTTATCAGGTTCTTCGAATTTGCAGAATTTTTTTCCTTCATTTCTCAAAAGAAAAGTTAGGGTGAGCATGAACCAGACATTCCACAATTTAATATTTCTTCATTGTGAGCTCTAGGTTCAAATATGTAGTGATGAATACAAGGACTATAAAACTTACTTAGAGTTCAAGTTTCTGTAAGAATAAAGTGAGAGTGTGTAAGTATGTTTCTTGCTGATATAAAAAAATAAATATAAAATAGGAATGTATAAAAACAAAAAATAAAAATAAAAATGTAGTGAGTGATAGATTCATAGAACCAAACTACTATAATTTACACTCAGTTTCAGAGAGCTGAAAGGCCCACTAAGAAACCAGGTTCGGCTCAATTAGATTTCAAACTTGGTAAACACGGTCTGGAGAAGCCCAAGTGCCCTAAGCCCAAGGGATGTTTCTTTTTGTTTGGGCTAGTGGCTTGTTTGGAATGCAATAATTTGTGGAAATTAACGAAGTTAAATGGGAACTAAGCAGACAAAATAAGTATGACTAATGCCATTATGTAGACCTAACGAGTATATTTTAGGCTAAATTGCATTTAACCTGAAGATAATAATAATAAAATAAAACAAAAATTCCATGTACTAAAAATTGATAAATTGTTCTTGAACTAATGACCAGGTTTCAACTCTTTGGATTTACTTAATTTCATTTTGTCTTGGAAAAAAAAAAAAAAAACAAACTAATGACCTCTGCCATTAAATTTCATGAAAATAAAGAATATTAAAGAAAGTTACAATTTTGCCCAAGCCCAAGTTGAAGCCAGTCTCGGGTTAAAGAGACCTAGCCCAAGCTCAGCCTGAGTAGGGTTGATTGGCTTGAATATCTATTTGAACCAATTTTTTATTTTTTATTATTATTATTTTTTATTTTTATTTTTATTTTTAGATAAAATCATAAAAACTTATCCTCCCAAAACCAAAAGAACTTATTAAATTCAAGCTTTCTTTATTCAGAGTTGCATGTAGGTTTTCAAAGGTTACTTTTTTATTTTGTACGAATAAAAATTGTACATGGCGATGAAAATTTATTGAAGATTTACTGAAATAATCATAGGAGGAAATTCTTCAATAATTGATATCATTGCATTTATATATAAAAATCAGAGAAAAAAAACGTATCAATAACAAAATTGAGCACGTAATATCGTGCGTTCTTTTTTTTGTTTTCCTTTGTTTTCTCATTATTTTACAAAATTCAAAGCAATATTAGAATATAAGCATATAAAAATTATCTATGTTTAAAAATGTCAACTAACTTGAAGATATTTTTATTTTTTAAAATTCAAGACAAACTTTTTCCTTCAATATAAGCTAAATAAAAATAGTATATTTCTGTCATTTTCCTTTTTATGCATAGAGATAAATACTCCGTATATATTTTCGGTGAACAAAAAATTATATTTATATTTTTTTAATTTTTCTTTTTAAACATAAATTGTTCATTGATCCATAAAATTTAAAACTGTGAGATGCTTGTCCGTGACTCACAGTTCCGAACAAGTTGTATAGACAGAAGGAGTATTAAAGATATTTAATACAGTATATAACATTTTCGGTGAAAGCATAAATATATATTGGGCCTTTTATAATTCTAGTAATTAGATAGATCCGCCGGAGATTAGTTATCGCCCTCTCACCTAAAACCCTAGCCCAACTTTCACAAGCTAGGGTTTTTGAACACTCTCTGTCTCTCTCCGACGTAAACATGGAGGGTCTCGAAATCCAAGAATTACCGTCGCACTCTGGTGATGAACACGAGGACTTCTGCCATTCAATCCTCTCCCGGTTCAGCAACTCCACGCAAGAGCACCACCTTCACCTCTGTGCAGTGATCGGCGCAATGTCTCAAGAGCTGAAGGACAAAACCCTCCCTCTCACTCCCCTTGTTTACTTCGGCGCCACCTGCTCTTCTCTCGACACCGTCTCGGTCGAAGCCGAGCCGCCCGCTCACGTTCTTGACGCCCTCCTCACCATTCTCTCCATGCTCCTTCCCCGAATCTCCGTCGCAATTTTGAAGAAGAAAACTGAATACATATTCGAACTGGTGGTTCGAGCCCTTCGTTCGAAATCGATCACTCCAGGGGCTGCTGCTTCAGGGTTGAAATGTATATCCCATCTGCTCATCATCAGAGATAAGGTCAACTGGTCGGATGTTTCTTCGCTGTATGGATTTCTTCTGAATCATGTGACGGACGAACGCCCCAAGGTAATGATTTTTATCTTTATCCCTGTATTTTTGTCCCCGCTTTAATTTGGGTGCTATCCATTTTTATTCATTTGATTTTCTATGTTTGGACCAATTTGGTGTTTGTTTCACCTGACATTAACATGACATTTTGTGTATCTATCTCAAATATTGAGATTGGAACGATTAAATCAAAATGGATGGTATCGATATGCAAGTTAGATTACTTATTTGATGATGATTCTCCACATCTTCAATGCCTCCATTCACCTTTTTATAATAATCTTTTCTAAATTTTGACCTTTTTTTCCCAGTGTTGTTATAAAGTGTGAATTTTTAATATACATGCATATGCAGAAGCTTTCTCTTAGGATGAAGTACTGAATGGATTCACATTGAAGGTGAAATCTATTTCAATAAGGGGTTAGGTTGAAAGATTTTGACATGGTGGTTGGGCCATTTATTTGTAATCATTTGTGATATCTCCCCTTTTCTTTGGTAACTTTCTTCATTATTATTGCTACATGGATTAGTTCAGTTCCAGCAACTTTTGGTAGAATGTTAAGGGATGGAAAACTATCTATATGGTAGTCCTTGGAAAAACTTTTCTTTTTATTGATGACTGTTAAAGGGCTTGCTGTATTGGGTGTTTGAGATTGTTAAGCAGAATCTATGAATGTGGCCAGTATTATGGATTGATGTTAGCTTGATATTGAAATATATAGATTCCCTTTTCCTCATAAGCTTGAAAATTTTAGATCAGCACTTTGAATTGATGTTGCTAAGAGTCCAACTGGATGATGACAGGTGAGAAGGCAGTCACACACTTGTCTCCGGGACGTTCTACTTAATTTTCAAAGAACATCGGTGCTAGCACCGGCAAGTGAAGCAATTACTAACATCTTTGAAAGGTTTCTTCTCCTTGCTGGTGGATCAAATGCAAGTGCTTCGGATGGACCCAAAGGAGCGCAGGAGGTTCTGCACGTTCTGGATGCTCTTAAAGATTGTCTTCCATTGATGTCCTTGAAGTCCTCAACTAGCACACTGAAGTACTTCAAATCTCTATTGGAACTGAACCAACCCCTTGTAACCAGGCGCATAACAGACAGTTTGAATGTACTCTGTCTTCACCCAACCTTGGAGGTTTCTCCTGAAGTGCTGCTTGATCTGTTATGCTCATTAGCTCTTTCTGTATCTGCAAATGAAACATCTGCAGATGGCATGACAGTCACTGCCCGCCTACTGGATGTTGGATTGAAAAAAATTTATTCCCTTAATAGGCAAATTTGTGTAATGAAGCTACCTGTTGTATTCAATGCAATTAGAGGTTTGATTTATTCATTTATTCCCCCGACTGATAACATGCATTTTTTTGTTTCATATATAAGTATAGTTGCATACGGTATTATATAATTTAGTAGAGAACATTTGCCCTCAGGTTTAGCTTTTGTTAAATGTCGAGACAGCATAGCAGCAGTGATGAAAAGTATGTTTATTTCGCAGAAATTTTGGCTTCTGAACATGAGGAGGCTATATTTGCTGCCATGGAAGCATGCAAGAATCTCATAGATGCATGTATTGATGAAAGCTTGATCAAGCAGGGAGTGGATCAGATTATAGCGAGTGCAAGTGTGGACATAAGAAGGTCTGGGCCAACTATCATTGAAAAAGTTTGTGCAAATATTGAGAGTTTACTTGATTATCGCTTTTCTGCGGTATGGGACATGTCGTGTCAAGTTGTTTCGGCAATGTTTGATAAATTAGGTATCCTCAATTCATATTTGCTTTTCTCCCTTGTTTTATTTACCTTCACTTATAAATCACCATGCTACTGATAAAAAGGGGTTGTGATAGGTAAGATACATGACATGTTTCTTCCTGATTCTATAAATAAGCACTTGCGTGTATCCAGAATGGTCATTAGATATATTGCGTGTATCCAGAATGGCCATTCAAATGTTTTTCTTGTTCCATCATCGGCTGACTTTTTCATCCTTATATTAACATACATGCTCTTCCAGTATAATGGTGGGTTGTTGATCTCATATAACTGTTACCCAATGAATCTTTCAGGTGTATATTCTTCTTACCTTTTGAGGGGAACACTTAAGAGCTTGGCAGACATGCAGAAGTTGCCAGATGAAGACTTCCCTTACAGGAAGCAGGTACTGTTGTAACTTCAGGAACCTGTTTCCATGATGAACTTTAATGTACTGGCATTTTAGTTTCCATTATTGTTGTGTTATGACTATTCATTTTTGTGGATTCATTATCTTCTTCTAAAGTTGGCATCAAATGTCACTGCTTCTTCTGGTGGATCTGTATATATACACATTATGATTTATATGACAATGGAAAATAGATACTCTTAGAAGAGTGAGCTCTGCCTTAAATCTGTTGTTTTTGTTGGACAGTTGTTTCTTAATATTACAAGTTTTTAATTTTTGTAAATGAATATCATAATTATTGAAATTTCAATGAAATTTGTGGATTTTCAACTATATTTGATTTGAAGAATTCCATAATGTTTTCCACCTCAAAGTTGCGTGCCATGTAACCCATATTTCCCATATGTGATTTACTAGATTCACTAATTAAATAGTAGATAATATATATATATATATTTTGTTCTCATATGGGTCCTTTTTCTTTTCAATGATCGGGGTTCTTGAAACTTGTCAAATGAGGTTTGTTGACATGGAATTGACATCAATTATGAATTGCAATTCTTAGATTCATGAACACCATTATTTCCTTTATGACAGATATAAGTTCAATTCCATGAATAGCTGAATTTGCGTGTAACCTCTTGGCATAATCCAGAGTTCTCTTGTTCAACTCGTGGAGGCATTAAAACGTTCTTCCCAGGCTTTCAAATGCCAATGGTTTGGGGGTGATTGCTGGTATATGAAGGGTTTAGTCCCAACACCCCTCAAGGGCGCGAAGATACCCTCCACTACACCCCCTCCAAAAAAAAAAAAAAATGGATATACAAGTAAAAAAGAATATGCATTGATTGGACATTTATGGTGTTATTATTTTTATTATTCTTTTCTTATTTTTGTTTTATTTTAGTTCTCCCCGTTGTTTGGGACATGTTGATTGGTCGACAAGTACTTGTTTTACTGTTGAATATATTCCTAGAGTTTATGATTGAGCTAGCACATAAAAAGTAACAAGATATTATTACTTGGTAATTTAGCAAAATAATTTGTACGATATTAAAATCAATTATTGTCTCAACCCAACTTAACAAAGTTTTTCTCTCAACTACTTGAGGTCAGCCTCATGAACTCTATTTTTCCATTCCGCTCTATATTAAAAGTCAATCCAAATACATAAAACTACCCTATGTAAAAATTTGACGGCTTACTGTCACGAACTAAATACAGTCTTAATTCAAACCCTCTCACCAGAAATATAATAATGAAATGGGAATTTTAATTTGATTAAGGTTTCAAACTTCTTAGGCTTTAAAGTGGCGATTAAGATTTCACGCTTGATAATTTTTTTTCTTCATAAAATTGCATTGCATAGACTTTTGGTATTTAAATTGTTAGGCCTGAAATATAGTATTTATTTCCTTTGAGAACATTTCCCTCCCTCTCCCCTCCTCGCAACAACCAAAAAGAGAAAAAAAGTGATATTCTTAAAATGGGAAGGTGATGTTATTGGGAGCTTTTGAAGTTGAAATCAATTGTTCACAAGCCTTGTACAATATCATTCCAATCCCTTTCTGTTTGAGGAACTATATATTGGATGTTAATTCAAATCATTTTGGGAGGTCTCCCTGCTTGACATGCATGTCTATTGAATCATGACAATTTTGTCCATATGTTGTCCTTAGATTAAAATGGCTGTTGGCTTGTATTGACATTGTGTTTATTTCTCCAATGCATGTTGTTGGTAGATTGGAACTGGTTACGGAGCTAACCTCTGACATTATTGTATAAAATTGTTGGTCAAGCAATGGCAGACCAAATTATAAAACAATACATCAGTGTTATAGCTTTTTAGCTATAGGTTGAGCTGATTAGACATATCTCATTGTCAATAATTATGTGAAATCAACAATGGTAGACTTGTTCTATCTGTAATGTCTCAGTTTTACGTTGGTCACTGATGTTTTAATGTACTTATTACTTTGCAGCTGCATGAATGTATTGGGGCAGCTCTTGGTGCAATGGGCCCTGAAACATTTTTAAGTCTTCTACCTCTTAAGTTGGAGGCTGAAGAACCATCCGAGGCCAATATTTGGCTCTTCCCCATTTTGAAGCAATATATTGTTGGTTCCCATATAAGCTTCTTTACAGAATCTATTTTGGCAATGGTTAGTCTTGCAAGGCAGAAGTCTCGAATGGTATGTGATCTTTTTGATAATAACACGACTTCATTTTATTACTTCTATGTATTATGCACTTGTTATTTCTTTCTTTTGGCAGCTTGAGCAAGAAGGCAAGATTTATTCATCAAGGAGTGTGGATGGACTTATTTACTCTTTATGGTCCTTGTTGCCTTCGTTTTGCAATTACCCTCTGGATACTGCTGAAAGCTTCAAGGATTTAGAGATAGCATTATGCAGTGCTCTTCGTGATGAACCTGATATTCGTGGAATAATATGCTCCGGTTTGCAGATCCTCATTCAGCAGAATAAGGGAATTTTAGAGGGAAACAGTCAGTTGTCTGATACTGAAGTGAGCATTCCCAGACAGCGAGCTATGGCTCATTACACCCCGCAGATTGCAGCTGATAATTTGAATGTGCTGAGGTCATCTGTTCGTGAGTTACTGTCTGTTTTATCAGGAATCTTCTTGAAATCATCGAAAGACACTGGTGGTTTGTTGCAGGTATTTGAATTTGTCTGTTATTTTCTGGTCTCAACCAGATAACCATTTGCACCATTGCACCATTGTCAATTATTTTCTGGTCTCAATCTTCTTGAACCTTTCCATGTTACTTCCATTTTATGTTACTTTTAGTTAATATATTTATCACATAACTAGTAAAGATTAGTAAAGTCTTAAAAATTCAGAACTTTGTGATTCGTAAGGCAATATGTTTGATCAGTTCATGTAAAATTTGAACTGATATTTTTTTTGAAGACTACTCTTAAATTTCCTTGTTAAATCAGTTTTTGTAACCTGTTGGAAGTGGCTAAATAATCTACTGCATGTTTATCCTAGTCATATATCTTTCTTTTTTCTTTTTTCTTTTTTTCTTTTTTTTCTTTTTTTTTCTTTTTTTAAACTTTTATTGATTAGATTTTTATTTAAAACAAACTGAGGGCACTTCTGTTTCTCATCTAAACCATTGGCTTGATTATGCCTTGAATGGTGCCTATAAATTTCAACAAGTGAAATATATTGGTTCAATTTACATTTGATCTAGGAATAATGGACTTAAGACTTAAAGGATTGCCTGCGTGTTACGTTGGTTTGTGTCCAGGGGTTATGAGGTGTAGTAATGTTGGAAAAAAGCTATTGAGTTATCATTGTTTCATTTCCTAGGCCAAATATAGTTGCTTAGACAATTCTGAATGTCATTCATTCACATAGTTTTTCATTGTTAACTGTTTTTGTGAGGTTAGGTTTGATGCTCTGCCATCCTGGTATTAGCTAACAATTCACCATGATTTTATATAGTGTCCTCCTTTTTGTGGAAGATAGATTAAATTATTCATTTGCATGCGGAAAGGAAAGTGAGGTTGGGTTGGCGCAACAGTAAGTTTGCTCCATTGTGACATGGAGGCCACATGTTCACAACCGGAAACAGCCTCTCTAGGTGGAGGTAAGGCTGCGCACATCTGACCCTCCCCAGACTGGCAAACCCTAAGATGACAGGAGTCTCGTTCACTGGGCTAGCCCTTTTATGTGGAAAGGAAAGTGCCAAATGGGCATGGTGCTCCACATTGATTTTTTATATAATCTACTAATGAGCGGCTAGAAATACTGTGTACCTGATGTCTTACTCATGTTAGTTGAAACTTCATTAATGTTTCACGTTTTGTTATGGTGTATAATGGTTTTTACAACACTTGCAGTCCACAATTGCGGAGCTTGCTTCAATATCAGATAAAGAAATAGTCACAAGGTTCTTTAAGAGTACAATGCATAAGCTTTTAAAAGTGACTCAAGAGGCTGGAAAGGCAGAAAATTCCCGAAATTCTAATTCAATGCAGATAGATAACTCGTCAAATGAGAGTTCACTATCACAAGCAAGGTGGAATTTTTTTTTTATTGCACATAAATTTTTATGATTTGATACATCAAATTTTTTTCCCATCTGATTTTGATAGTTCTTCAGTCTGTTATCTATTGTTTTCAATATATTGACAATATATGTGCAATGTTGATATCTTTGGTATGCATGACACCTTACAGTTCAATTTTTTCTTGCAACTATAGGGCACAACTATTTGATTTGGCAGTCTCCCTTTTGCCTGGTTTAGATGCCAAAGAGATAGATCTGTTATTTGTTGCAATAGAGCCTGCATTAAAGGTTTGTTGATGTTTCTATCTGGTGATGACACTTTGTGGTGTAAGGAGGATGATCTTCTCTCATCTTTTCACATTGTAATGGTAAAAATAATTAAGACCTAACATTTACTTGAATTGCAGGATGCTGAAGGTTTGATCCAAAAGAAGGCATACAAAGTTCTTTCTATTATTCTCAGGGTATTTTTCATTGCACATGGTTGTTTTTTTTATTTATTTTTAAGTATCACTTTTCTTCTTTGCCATTTGGTCATTCTATTTCTTGTGGATAATTTATGGTTGAACCATTACAAAACGGGAATTGCTCATTTTAGACTTCATCCAAAATATGGCATTCTTACGTAGAATTCAAAAGATAGCTTGGTAAAACCTGACTTTTAGAGAGGAAGCACGGAAGTAACTGAAATGAAGTGATCCCTCAAGGGATAGGAATTCCCCCTCCCCAATCACCCAAAAAAGAAAAAGAAAAAAATGTTAACGGTACAAGATATATTTATCTTAATGCATTGGCCTTGATATTTTGTTTTGGGTATTCAATCTAAAAAAAGAAATAATAGCTTATTGAAATTGCAGTGCAAGTCAATTTGTGAAAACACTTCTTTACCAGATACAATTATATACTCACAATCCAATAAAAAAGAATATATTATGGGCCACATTTATGCCAGGCTATCTATTGACATTTATGATGCTAAAGCTTTTTTTACCAAATTATAATTAATATCCCAACAATTCTCTGATTGAAATTCTTTTTCCGACATATGCTTATTGGATTTGTATTGGCAGAACTCTGATGGATTTCTTTCACGAAAGCTTGAGGAACTACTTAATCTGATGATTGAAGTGCTGCCTTTGTGTCATTTTTCGGCTAAACGCCACAGGCTTGACTGTTTGTACTTCCTCATTGTCCATATTTCCAAGGTTATAAGGATTATTATTGACATTTCACTCAGAATGTTCTGTTCTCATTTGTAAAAATCATATTCGATGAACAAATTTTAATTTAATATCCTTGGAATCTTACTTCTAAATTTATGCTTTTGCCAACAGGATGAATCTGAGCAGAGGAGGCATGACATCATTTGTTCTTTCTTAACTGAAATTATACTTGCACTGAAAGAGGTATAATGTGTTATCTGCGGGAACTTTACCATGCATAGGTGGCCATTTTCCCCATTGATTAAGTTTGTTTGCTATCCTGATTATCACAGTGAGCTTTTTTACTTTATGAATTAGAGTCTGTTGATTTGGTGCTTTTTCTCATTGTTGTTTTAACCAAATCTTGAATCTAGTCACACTATTACACTACTGTTGACTCATTAGGCTTTCCCGACCAGAAGTTAGCTTCAATCAAGAGGGGAAATACATGGAGGAGAGTAAACGAGGAGACTAAGAGAGAAAATGAAATATGTACTTTGAAAACTATAATGGAATAGCTTGTGCACTGCTTTAATTTTGACATTTAAATCTATGATTATGGTCTTTGTTGTACTGTCATCAGTTCACTTCTTTGATAAGGTTAAGTCATTCCTTGTGGCAATTTTTTTCCCCCCAGAAAGTTATCCTTTATGACATTTTTTTCCCAAGAAAGTTATCCCTTGTGACATTTTGTCTATTACATTATAGCTTTCTTTTGAAAAGTTGTGCATGAAATAAGTAGTGATACAAAGGGACTATGGTTCCAATGACAACTACTTGTTGATGCACCTGTTCTTTAATACTATATTAAATAATTCTATCAATGTGATTCAAAATGTAGGGTGTCCATTAAGTTAAAAATTCTGTTGGCTTCGTGCCTTAGAAAGTTTTTTTTTTTTCTTAGTTGGTACTCACACACACATACCTCCACTGAGGTTCGAACCCCTAACCTCTCTTTGGGAAGTAGGAGCCTGGTACCACTAGGCCATAGGCCTGTTGGTTTGCCTTAGAAAGTTTTATTGTTTTGGTAAAACCTGCTATGAGTAAATAACTCTTTTGTCATCATGATCATGATTATCATGCTTGCCTTTATCCCATATGAGTGGGTTAACTCTCTTTACCATTCTATCCTGTTAGAAGCCATCTCTTCTCTTAAATTTAACCTTTTAAAATTCTTTCTAATTACTCATTAGAAGATAGTTTTGAGCCCTGCTGTCTGTAAAGTAATCTTCCTTCCTCACTGGTGTATATGCGGCTCTACTTTGTATGCGTCTATCTTCCTCACACTTCGATAGTAAAATGATCTGGAGATTTATTTTTCATTTAAATATTGATAAAAATGTAAAATGACTTATGACATCAAATATTTACAACTTTACCGTGTCAGTCGTCCAAGTAATGAGTAATAACTGCTTAATATCACAGGCTTGTGAGCCAAATCATGAATGTTTGTGATGATTTTATAGGCGAGCCTATTTTATAACTTGAGCTATGTCCTTGCTGGGTCAAGAAACAAGCTTGAATGAGTTTGTATAAGGCAAACCTGAGAAGCATGACTTTTTTTACAGGTTGAGGTAGGGAATGTAGTGCTACTTTTTATTGCAATCATGGTAGGGGAGTCTAGATATTATGTGATTGGATTTGGTGGCCAGGGAACATTGGCAACAGTTGTGATTGAATGATTATTTAATTGTTTCATTGAATTACTATATGTGTAAGCTTATAATAAAGTTGGTTGGACGGTTACGGTTTTGTAATAAGGTTGAATGATGATTTTTTTTCCCAGGCCAATAAGAAAACAAGAAACAGAGCTTATGATATGCTTGTCCAAATTGGCCATGCCTGTGGGGATGAAGACAAAGGTGGAAAAAAGGAAAACTTGTACCAATTTTTTAACATGGTATAATGTTGGTTCAGCTATTGCTGTATGATACTCGCTACTTTATTGATTTGAAGTTCCAGTCTCCTTACTTTTCATGGTCACAGGTAGCTGGAGGACTGGCTGGTGAGACCCCTCACATGATCAGTGCTGCAGTGAAAGGCTTAGCTCGCTTGGCTTATGAGTTTTCGGATCTTGTTTCTAGTGCTTATAGTGTTCTCCCATCTACATTTCTCCTCCTGCAGAGAAAGAATAGAGAAATAATCAAAGTTTGTTGTCCTCTTTTTGTAGATATGCATTTGAATCTCGTTTTGATTATTTTTTGATTTTAAAAATAAGTACAACAGCTTATAAATCATGGGTCTTTATCCTTTTTTTTTTTTAATATATTTTTTAGGGATTTGATTGTTTGAAAATTTATTTCTAATGCAGGCTAATTTAGGTTTGTTGAAGGTCTTGGTGGCAAAATCACAAGCCGAAGGCTTGCAAACACACTTGAAGAGCATGGTGGAAAGCCTGCTGAAGTGGCAAGATAGCACCAAGAACCATTTTAAATCCAAGGTTTGCATTTCCTCTTCCTTCTGCTACTTAATGATGATTTGTGGTTTTGGAGTTTAGATGAGTAGTAGATGTAAAGCTACCCATGGATACTTCCATAGTTTTAAAATTGTTTCCATGTCAATATGTGGCTTGTATTTGCTTGATACCGTGCAGTTGATTGAAATGAAATAAATAAAAAGATCCACTGATAATGATACTACATAGAAAAACTTGATGAATGTTCTTTTGTATATAAAGTTTTGTCTAATATCAAGATTATAGCCTAATATAATAATAATTAAGCATAAAGCAGTTTATTCAGTTTAATTGAGTTGAACAATTTTATGAGGTGCTATCCTGAACAAGACTTCCAAGTTTATCTATTGCAATTAAACCCAAAATCAAGCATCATACCTTTCTAACCTAAGTGATTCATCTTAAAGCAAAACAATTGAAATAAAAAAAATCTTGAAACAATGCTCGGTTGCTTCAATACTAGACTAAGACTAATCTAATAGAGTAGAGGAGGAACAGAGTTGAATAGATGCAACAAAATGTCATATTGAGTCTTTTAAAATATACAAATAGGATACTATTGGTAATTACCATCCTTAACTTGCAAAGGCAATAGCCGCAATACATGGAAACACATACATTTTTTTTGGGGTAAGTAACGCCAATATACTTTTTGCTTACACAAAAAAATTAGAGTAGAAAATGCAAATAATTTTGGACCCAGAATATACAGAATACTCTTTATGAAAGTATACCTTGATTTTTCATAGTATTCAAATAATGAATTATGAGTGAAAGGTAGTTGTTCCAAGTAATCGAAGTTGTACTCTGTTGTTACAGATACACGTCGTAATATTTATGAACATATGTTTCTGCCTCTAAGTTCGGTTCACCATTTAAGGGCAAGCCACCTTTTTTTTTTTTTTTTTTGACAACTTGGCTATTTAACAGAATACTACTAAGCCTCATATGGAATCATTTATCGTTCCATCCAAAGCTTATTTTGCTTGGTTTTTTGGAAACAGGTGGTAAATGGTATGCCCATCTACACTTGGTATTAGTTTTGAGAAGCCATTGTGCTTTAGAGTTATACGATTTCTTTAAATAGATTTCATAGTTAAGGAATAAAAAGTTGCAGGCATATATATAAAATTAGCTAAGGTTAGTGAGGGACTAGGATTTAACAATCTACATTGTTTTGTTTCAAGCATTAGATTTTGACACACTTAAGGTTCTGATCTGGATCCAAAATATTCATAATTTTCATTTGGATTTAGATGGCATGCAAATCTGGATTCTATAGTTGATTCTCTATTGATATTTTATAACTTAATAATCTCTATCGATTGGTAATTTCTTGAGGATCCAATTAAATCACGAGTTAGCAAGGCGATGATGAATTAGGAATGTTGGGTTGCTGGAAAATCATCCAATATCCGGTATAATTCTCCCCTTGTTAATTTGAAGGGCTAAGTTTCTGCAATGAAAGATTTGGGTAGCCAACAATCCATGTGTTTGGATACAAGAACCTGGGCTTGAATCTCCTATAACCATCCTGTTTGGATGCAAGCAATAGTTAGCCTCCAGCTGCTGACCCGTGAGTCCATTCAAATATTGCTCCAGCCCAAATTTGGACCCAAGTATCGATCAACTCCATACCCTTATACCACATCAACAAAGAGTCATCACTCAAACGCTAGGAAGGCTCCATTAGCCTCTCGCCCGATGGCAGTCAACATGAGCCACCACATGCCAGTAGTAGTCCCAACAGTTGTGCCACGTCACTTGCCTTGTCTGACACAGTCAACAACGGTGCCAACAGTAGTTCCATGTCACCTGATACTTTGGACAGTTAGCAACGGCATAGTAGTGCTATGTCACCCATCACGCCAGCTGTTACTTCAGACACAATCAGCAATGGTGCCAGCAATAGTGCCACGTCACCTGTTACTTCAGACATAGGTCCTCTAACGTCATTGCCCCGGGAAGCAACATTAGCCTCACCCTCGACAATAGTTAATGTGACGTCAATCTTGGCAACAAGCAACAACTGACGTCAACGCTGGGGAGAACACCATCCACCTCTCCCTAGGCGATAGTTAACATGACATCAAAAACCAACGCATTAAACACGCATTTCCTCTTAAGTGCCTCACCATGCTGGATCTTCACGGATTCACCACCTCAACTCTACGCGCCAACGTGTCAAATCACAAATTTGACTCTACGAGCCTTGGCTCGCCTCATCGTGCTGAATCTTCACAAATTCGCCACCACGGGACTTCGCTCGCCTCATTGTGCCAAATCTTCACATATCCGCCACCATGCGCCTTAAATGGTAATCCCACGCTTTCATGCGCAACAACAGGAATCATGTGCCATCAACGCGTTGGATCTTCATAGCTTCATCACCACGGTCTCACGCACTCTCAATGTGATGGATCTTCTAATACCTCGTCGCTTCGGCCTTCCTTAGGGAACTGCAACAAGATGCCTTCTTTGAAGATACCCAGCCTAGGATGCATAGTTGTCTAGGTCTTCCTCCAGAAAACCCCACGAGATGCCTTGCCTAGGAATGCCCCGTCATCGCGTCACCATGCGCCTCCAGTGGTAACCATGCGTTTCCACGCGCCCACATGCACTCACATGCATATGAGTTAACTCCACGCTAGCAATCCATGTCATCATGACTTACCGCCACATCAATAGTCCACGTCAACAGGAAGTCTGAATTACTCAGATTTTTACCACATCTCTTTCGCCAAACGCTTTCATCATCTTGACTCTCCAAACTCAAGTTGGTTTCATATAACCCACCTTGTGTTAGAGGGTGTTAGATTATATAGTCTCGTATAGCATAACCTTAACCTCATGCAGCTTATTTTCACCGTAGCATAGCCCTAGCCTCACTGTTGAAGACTTGATCTTCACTCCTACACTGTATAGCCTTGCCCTCCAAGTTTGGTACGTATATAGGCTTCATGCATGTACAGTCTAATCAATTCAATCCATTCAATATATACATTTTAATACAAATTTCATATCTTTTCTCTAGCAGTTTTAAACAGAGAGGACAACAACTGACTTGAGATCCAGAGGGAAAGCAAATCTGAACTCGGGCTTGGATTAGCCTGGATGGACATGGATTCTCTAGTTCTTGAGATAGGTGTTGACTTTGTTGGCAAGGGATGTGAGGGATTCCGTCGGATATGTTGATTGTGCACCGCATCCCGGTGGCGATGGGACAGTATAATGCTGTTCTTTCGAGTGATATGATCTGAAACTCGAAATAGCCTCTGTAAAACCTCTAGACAGTGGCAGTGATTGGACGCCGTGAGTGGAGTACACTACACTGCTGGTGGTGGAACTAACCGTTTGAGTAGCCCAAAAATAATAGAAGAGAGAATGTAGAGAGCTAAGGTTTGAAACGATCGCGTGGGGTGTGAAATCTGTATTGAACGTATTGAATTGATTAAATTGAATAAACATGAGGCCTATATATATATAGGTTGTACGAACTTGGAGCCCAAGGCTGTACAGTGTAGGAGTGGAGATTAAGACTTCAGTAGCAGTGTTGTCAAAGGCGCACTTAGGCACACGCATAGGCTCTAGGCGCAAGACTTGCGCCTGTTGTGTGTCCAGGCTTTGACAACATTTGCGCCTTTAATATGGAATAGGAATGCTTTAATAGTAATTTAATTTTTTTTCATTATGCACCTCACTTTACTCAGGCGTTCGCCTCGCCTTGCGCCTAGGCTCCAGAGGACCTCTAGCGTCTTAGTGCGCCTTAGGCCTTTGATAACACTGTTCAACAGTGAGGTAGGCTAAGGCTATGCTACATTGAAGCTAAGCTACATGAGGCCAAGGCTATGTACTCTTAACACTCTTTATAGTAGTATTCAGTAGGAAAAAAAAAAAAAAAAATGTAATTATGCAACTTTTTGGATATGTATAAATAAAGGAGATTTTCACACTGCCAAGCTTTAGCTTGAGAATTAAGGGAAAAAGATGCAATTACCCTATAGTATTATCAAATGACAAAAATGATTTATTTTAATGGACAAAATTACCCTTCTTTCTCTTCCTCTCTCTTGCCATACATATATAGTAAGAAAAAAATTTGTTCAATTGAAACCTTGCCATCAATTTTAACACGTACGTAATACAAAAAATCATATACATGTATAAACCATGTATCGATATATATATATACACACACACACACGTATGGAAATTTATAATTAATATAATAAGAAAGATTGAAGAGGTGCACACACACACACACATATATATATGTATACATATAAGAATTTATATATATATATATATTGTTTTTGTGTTATGCCTGTGAGTAAATCAATTAAACAAAACACCATCTTTAGGGACCGATTGGCTTTTCATATGGCCTTGATGTTATATTCTGCAAAACAAAACTTTAGTTTTATGGGTTAGATCTGAATGAGCTTTGCCTCCGTTGACACATTTTTTTCCCCTTTCTCATTCCTTCCTTCTCTCTCCTCTCCACGCCTGTGGGTCACCACTATCCCATCTCTCTTCTTCCCTCTTCACTGCCTCCTCATCACCGCCACCCCCACCACTTCCACAACCGGCGACTTTAGATCGGGATCAATTTAGATCACCACCCTACCACTTCCACCACCGGCGACCTTCAGATCGGGACCGATTTAGATCGCCACCCCTCCTACCACTTCCACCATCGTTGCAGCCATGCATCGGACCACCACCTCTCCTCTCTCTACTCAACCTCATTGCTATCTTACTTTCTTTCAATTTTGGACCTAATCCCACCCCGAAGCTTTGAGTAGTGAAATCTCTAACCCAAATTGCAGTTTCATCTGTGACTACTGTCCGCGGAGCAACGATCTTCAGTGATGCATTTGGCGTAACCCAATTGGTGGTCAATTCGGATTGATTGGGCAGCAATCCGATTGTGGTGTTCTTGTTTTGGAGTGCCGATCTTTGTTCTCAATGTATTATGTCTCATCTTCTTCTAATTTTTAAAAAATCCATTCTTTGATGTCTTATTCACTGCCGCATGCACCACCGCCGGTCGATTATTCCCCCCAATCCCGATAACTCAACCTTCTTCACCGGCAGCGGAATTGATATGCCCAACTACAACCGGCGATCACTAAAACTTGTTGGTTTATACGTCTTCGTATTCTCAATTTGCAGTTTTGCTTCAAAATCGAAGTGATTAAAATCACTTAGGTTAGGATTGGACAAGTTGTTGCAGAAATCAAATTCAAAATCCTTGGACATGTGAAGAGCAGAGTCAGACTGTGAGAACTGGTGAGGCCATGGATTAATCGTTTCTGATGAATTTAGAGAGAGAGAACAAGGAGAGAGAAAGGAATATTGCATTGGACAAATTGGTAATTTGCCTCAGCCAGATATTTTAGTCTTTTTTAATAAATAATAATGAGGGTCGATAAGTAAATTCACCACAAAATCTGACATTGGGGGTTTTTGCAAAAAAATAGCAAACATTCGGTTTATTTGCAATTAGGCCAAACCTCAGGGTAGGTCATTGTAGTTTACCCTATTATTATTAGAAGCATAGTTGTTAAAGGCTCAAGGCGCACAAAAGCGCAAATGCCTCTTGGAGCCTGAGGCGCAAGGCGCAAGGCGAGGCGCGCGCGCCCGACTGAAGCAAGGCGCACGTTGAAAAAAAAAAAAAACAAAACCCACCTAATAAAGAATTAAAGATGCAATAGTATATATAAAGATGCAAAAGTCAACTAAATGAATTACTTAAGTTCAATATTCAACGTAAAGATGTCAAAGCCAACTAAATCAAGTACTTAAGTTCAACAGTGAATAATAAAAAAAGTTTATTTGATAATGTATTTTAAATCCATGCTTCAGTGCATTTTATAATGTATTTTAAATATCACGAAAATCATGTATCACTTTAAATTTTGTAAGATTTTAAATCACAGTAACTTCACATTTTAAATCATAGTAACTTCACTAATGCAAATTTCACCATTTGCACCGTCGTATAAAATTTAGCTCTTTAAAATTTTCAGTATTCATCCTCTATTGAATAATAGAAAATCTATTGATCATGTTATGAAACCCAAAAAAAAAAAAAAAAAAGACTTTAAGATGCTGCAAGTTTCAAGGGAAAAGTTCACTGATAAACTCAACAAATAAAATAAAAATAAATAAATAAATAAAATAAAAGTTCACTAAAAAAAAAAATATAGCAACTGTTATTTTAAGATTAAAATAAAATAGCACAAGATCAAGATAAAAAATAGCAACAATGCAACAACTATGCTCCAGAGTCTCCAGACTCGAGAAAAAAAAATAAAATAAAAATAAATAAAAAATAAAAAGAAGAAGAAAAAAAAAAAAATCTGCCAAACTCGACTCGGCCGAGAGAAGAAAAGAAGAAGAATAGAGGAAAAAAAAAAAAAAAAAACTGATCCGGCTTCCGAGATCCGAGAAGAGAAGGAGCCTAGGAGGAGAGAAGAAGAAGAGAAGGAGGAGGAGAGAAGAAGAAGAGAAGTTGGAGAACTTACCGGCAGAGTCGCCGACGCAGATCCGGCTTCCGAGACCAAGTCGTCCAAGTCGCTGACTGCCTCTGTCTTCTTTGTTTACTTTTTTGTTCTCTTTTTTGTTTTTTCTTATGTTGTAACTATCATGTTTTAACTAATAAAATAATAATATAATAAAAACAATAACAATATAACAAATAAACAAAGAATAAACAAACAAAATAATACAAAACCAATAAGGCGCGCCTTTAGAGAGCCTTTCGCCTGGCGCCTTTGAAGTAAAGGCGCATGCCTTCATTAACCCAAGCGCCTTAAGTCAATGGAGGCGATGTGATGGCGCCTGGAGGCGCCTTGCCCCTCAAGCGCGCGCCTCTAGCGCCTTTGACAATTATGATTAGAAGGTTGACTATATATTTTAAAATTTGTTCGATTTTAATCGGAGTATTTTATGATCTTAATGGAATAAATCTGGATCTATCCGTACAAATTGGAATTGATATTTTTGCACACCTAATTACAACCTATGTTACATGGACTCTTCAAAACTAGTGAAGTACCCGTGTCGGACACTTATTGCTCCGATATGGGAATGGGATGTGTCCGACACTTTTGGTTGGACATGTACCTAAAAAGCATATCCAATCTTTCAATTATATTGTGTTATTACTTTAAAATGAGTTAAAAACCAATATTGAACGCTATATTAAATAAAAACATTACTTTACTGTAGGGGAAAAAAAAAAAACTAAATAAAATTAATATTTAGCAGTGTCCACGTGTCCTTAAGTTTTGAAATTTGGCACGTCCAATGCATGGATATATATCCGTACCCGACACACGTCCCGAGTCCATGTTACATAGATTACAACATAGGTACTTGTATGGTAGAATAAATTTGTACGATATGTTTGCAGACTTGCAGCATAGGTACTCATGGTATGCTGAATTTGTATGATGAGATCTTAATATATGTTGTCCATACAATATAAGGATAATGTTGTCCTCTACAATATGAATGGGTTTTCCAACTCTGCCTTGGGTTATATTCTTGTTAATATCATAGTCATTCACGTGTTACAATCCCAGCCCACCACTATTCCGTTAAGGTATTGTCACGTTTTGGTCCTTCCTTTTTCCTTTTAACTTTTCTTACTTGAGTTGCATCACTACTGCTGCAGTGCTACTACTTGCTGGGATGTTGCAATTATAATGAGGCAATTATAACGAGATACCTTTATTTAACTAGTTCATGTTTGGAAGTTTCTATATTCAGTTGATATCTGTCTCTATATGAGCGAATGTGATCCTTCCACCATGTATAATTTGCTATATTAATCCCTATTAACAGTTGCGTATTTTCATATTGTATTTTCTGTAGGTTAAGTTTCTTCTTGAAATGCTTGTGAAAAAATGTGGTCTAGATGCTGTTAAGGCAGTGATGCCTGAAGAACACATGAAACTACTCACTAATATACGAAAGGTATGTTAAAATTCATCATGTACTTGAGTGATAATTTGAAATGAAATGAATTCAAAGCAATATTTTTTTGTTCCTATTGCAATGCAGATAAAGGAGCGGAAAGAAAGGAAAGTTACTACTAACTCTGAGGACGCTAGATCTCACCAGTCAAAAGCAACTACGTCCAGGTTGGTCTCTTTTGGACATGCACAACCCAAAGAGTATTTATGTGTACATTTTCAGGCCCTGTCACATCAAAATCTCACGTGTTATTGTGTAGGCCAGAACATTGTAAATTTCAAGCGCAGTTGAGGTTTCTTTGCTTTCTGTTCCTTGAATGTAGTAGGTGTGTCAATGGATTGGATTTGTAAGGGTTCGGGGGTGACCTCATCTAATCCATTAAAGTTGAAATTTGATCTTGTCCAATTACATAGCCTGATAAATCAAACATCTTCATGTCCAGATCCAAATCTGTTCAGAAAATTTTGGTCTGATGATCTGATTGAATCAATCAGATCTGCTACATACTTAATTGGACGATACAGATACATATATTTACTTATTTGATCATTAAACTTCTTGCATTTGAAACTAAAAGAGGAAAAAGCTAAATTTAAGAAGAAAAAAATTTGATGGTAATAAATTAGAAAAAGGAATATTTCATGTGAATCTTTTTGTTCATAAAAAAAAAAAAAAAAGGCAAAAAGCTGAATACTGTTGTATTCTGACATCAATTGTGTGTGTTTGAGAGGAGGGGGCCTTTTTTTTTCGAATGAGAGATAAGGATCTAATAATTGATGTGAAAGAGTACCGTTGATGTCACAGAAAAAAACCTAAAATATGTTTCATTGATGATTTGTACTTCAATAATGTAGATATTCTGATAGCTTGCATAGCTCCTACAGAAGTACTTTGTGGAAATCTTATTGTCAGGTAGGTTGCATAGCTCATACACTACTAGTATTTGATGGAAACCTTATTATCAGTTAGGCTGCGTAACTCATTAATTGATAATTTCATTTACTTTTCTAATGTAGATGTAGTTTGCTATCGTAAATATGCTTTATTGGCTTGAACTCATGGATGAATTGTTGGAAGTTTTTGAAAGACAGTGGATGGTTTCTTAGTTAGTGGGCCAAAAAAAATTGGGCATATGAATTAAGAAAACTTTGTCAGCTACTTCGGATGGATACAAGCATTTGATTATTTATAAATTGTTTCATGTTGCACGACAACAACGTGTTGTGACTCCTGAATTCTTTTACAGGCTTAGCAGATGGAATCATACAAAAATATTTTCTGATTTTGGTGATGAAGAAACTGAGAATAGCGATGCAGAGTACACGGATGAAAAGACAGTTTTTGGTAAACGGAGCAAGGGTTCCTCACTTTTCAACACCAAAGCATCTTCACTACGGTGAGTGACTGGATTTGAATATGTTAGTCCTCTATCTGGGCATGATCTGCAGGATGTACCTTGAAGAATTCTGGAGGTTTTAAGTTCAAAACTTTTAGTAAACATCCATACCTCCATTTTGAGCTTTCAGAACAGATTCTGTGTTAGGTTGTCAACCTGGCTTGCTTAGCCAATGCATGATTCCGCTATTCATTGGCTGTGCCTTTTATGGCATCTTTTTGAATTTAATTTGAACTGATAAGAAATCCTTATGTCTCCAGGTCCAAGAGAACACGGAAAGCACCCAAGAGCTTGCCAGAAGATTCGTTTGACCAATTGGATGATGAGCCACTTGACTTGCTTGACCGGCAAAAAACAAGATCAGCACTTCGGTCATCTGATCTTCTCAAACGGAAGTCAGATTTGGATGAAGAGCCAGAAATAGACTCTGAAGGGCGCCTGATAATTCACGAGGAGGGGAAAAAGCTAAAGAGAGAGAGGACTTCTGACCCTGATTCAGATGGAAGGAGTCAAACTAGCGGCAGTCGTTTGCGTGTAAACTCTTCTTCAAGGGAAGTCCAAAAGCGCAGGAAAACATCGGACTCTGGGTGGGCTTACACGGGGAGTGAATATGCGAGCAAGAAGGCTGGTGGGGACTTGAAGAGGAAGGACAAGCTTGAGCCATATGCGTATTGGCCACTTGATCGCAAGATGATGAGCCGTAGACCGGAACATCGGGCAGCCGCAAGGAAAGGTATGGCCAGTGTGGTAAAACTGACAAAGAAATTAGAAGGCAGGAGTGTCTCAAGTGCACTTTCTATGAATGACTCAAAGTTTAAGAAAGGTAAAAGGAAAGGCACCAAGAACAAAAGCCGGTAACATTGTATGCAAATGTATGTTTTGTCAGAGGCAGACTCACACTTGGGGTCACAATGTATTTGTATTGGCAGAGTGGGAGTTCATGTAGGGTTTCTTTATCGTCGTTGCCCTCCTCCCATTTTTTCCTTACATATATAAATATGTGGGTGGGGGTTAGAGAGTAAATTATAATTGTATTGAGTTATGGGTTGTGATTTCTAGTAGTTTTTTTATGGTAAATTAATTTTGATAATATACTCGAGGTTCACTCTTCCATTATAACATTATTTATTGTTTATATATTTGCATAATTTAATGTAAAAAAATAGTAAGATAAACTGGCAGGCCCACATTTTAACCCAATTGGAAGAGGTGGAGTCCCTGGTAGATGTAAAACAAGTTGGAAGTAGTGTTCTTTATATAAATGATTAGAAGTGGTACAGGGAAACATAGCTAAATGTGAAAATTCCCCATTTTTGAGTTCAATTTGGCTTGTTTTAGTGTTTAGAATTCTATTTGATTAATGATCTAGTGCTGGTTGATGATGGTTCGTTCTAGTGACAATGTCCTATGACAGTTGGATGTCCTTAATTCGCGAATAGTTTGTTTTAGTGAGAATGTCCCAAGGGAGTCATATGTCCTTGATTCATGAATAGTTCTTTGACCTGCGGAATGTGGGAGTTTATCAACTGGGTTAGAATGAGCAGAACATGATGGTGTATGTATTCGAGTTCATGTCATCATTGATAGTGTAATAGAAGTCCCTGTGCTAGCAGTATAATGAAGAGTATCAGATAGTTTTGTTATATGCAACGTAATTGTTGCGATTCAAGGAAATAAGCATTTTAATACCGTTCATTTTGTTTGCTTGCGCTTGTATTTTTGATGCACTCTGTTGTGAGATATACTCGTTCCTGGCGGGTCAAGAATAAGCTCTTGTAAGTTACAGTCGACCACATTATGCACAAAAACAAGTGTAATAATTGTAAATTGAAACAATCGATCATCTTGAAGCAGAAATGCCTACAACAATTGTAGCTTTGGATTTTTAATTCTATTGTGGAAGTTTGTTTTTGGCTGCCACATTATGCAAACTTTTGCCCATTGTTCGTTATATGGTCTAAGATGGTTACTTTACCATGTGTCCAGAACAACAGTTGCATTGTTAGATGCATATGGTTTCTCTTCCCCAGTGCTTCTTATGAGATAGCAATGGACTTGACTTGAACAATTGGTCGCGTTCAAAGGTTCAAATTCCCATAGGAGCAAAAGTGGGGGTGTGAGTTGCTTCTTAGGAAATTTGGGGAAGACAGTGCTGAAACATTTTTATGACTAAACAAACTTGCAAAAAAACCTTCTACAATTTCTATACCAGAAATGTGTTTTTAAAATATATATATTTAACATTTTATTAATACTAAATACTTTTTTTTATAACAATAATACATCCTTATTATTAAAATTTCCTAACATTATTATTTTGATTAGTGCTTACCAATATATAACTCACACATATAATAATTTTCTAGTATTTTTATATTCGCATTATCAAAGTTTCTTGCTAAGTTTTGATATACACACACACACACACACACACACATACATATAATAATTTTCTAGTATTTTTATATTCGCATTATCAAAGTTTCTTGGTAAGTTTTGATATCTTCCATCACCAATTCACCATTCCCAGCCGCTCGCTACTTCCATCGTTCCATGATAGTTTTGAACCACGTTTTCTGTTTCCGTTTCACCTTTGCCATTTCCTATTTCTGCTTCCCCTACCACCAAGTATTCTCTATTGGCTCCCCTCCCATTAAAATTCAGTTGATAGTGAAATAAACCACAAACACACACACACAAAAAAAACCAACATGCCAGTGGCCTAGCGACTAGACCCTTACTTCCCAAAGGGAGGTCAGGGTTCGAGCCTCAGTGGAGGCATATATGTGTGAGTCCAAAAAAAAAAAAAAAAAGAGGAGGGAGTTCGAATTTCATTTCATGACTTCTAACTTGATGCATCGGTTTCATATAATAAGTATGCCACAATCAGCTGTATGTGATGATTTCATCCATCTAATTCTGATTACTTTCTTTGGTTACTGGGAAGGGAAATAAAAGTGCATGTGAATAATAGAGAGTCCAAAAGTATTCTGTTATACCCATGGATCTTCTACTGTTCTACAGGATATTATCATCTCCATCAAATTGTAAGTCCAGGATATGAGCTTGGCAAGAATTCTACCAGTCACTTGGCAATTTCAACGTATACTTTACACAGAATTGGTATAGGAAAGAAAGAAACATTGAGATATCTCAAAACTGGGGAAAAAGAATAAAAGGAAAAAGAAAAAAAAAACAAAAGGAGGGCAGCCAGCCATGGAAAGATCGGTACATGGAAACTATATCTCTCTGTTTGTGAATCATAAAACACAAACTAAATAAATGGGGTTTACAAATGAACATCTGGTAGCAATTCTGAGCACTAATACAAAGGATTTAGAATAAAGAAAACTCACTCAAACACGGATGGAGCACTATTTGCATGTTTGAAAATTCTTGCTCCCCAAATAGTAGCTCCAGCAGAAGGTTCAAATATTCATTGGTTCAATTGCTACAGCAGGAAGGCTTATCATGTGCTATCCCTCGCTCTGCATCCTGAACCATAGATGTGGTCTAGATCAACTTGGCACATATAACAACTTAATTTTATGCATTTTTATATTTTCTTTTCTATTTTTAATCTGTGTAGCATTTGTTGAGAGAGAAATTTCAATAGATCCTCTCCAACTTTTCTTGTGGGGAAGTAAAAAACTCGAACCGAGAATTGGGCTGTTCAAGCCCAAGCTCAGTTGAACTTGAATTAAGCATCAGCAAAGCTTGAGCTAGTTTAAAGCTAACCTAAGAAGTTAAGCCATGATAAGCATAACCAAGCTTGTTAATCATATCCTAATTGAACAGTTCTGTCCATTTTTAAATCTGATAGTTGTAGCTGCAGAAATGCATAAACCCTCAATCAATATATGCAAATTAAATTACAGATGCAATTACATTGGTTTTATTAAAAAAAACCTTTCTTATAAGTTATTTTAAGCAAGTTCCTTAAAGGGATTATAACAACATTTATCACATTACCACATGAAGTTTGAGATAGGATGAAGTCTCGGGTTCCTAAAACATGGCTTGTGAAGCAACTGAACTTCAATATGGGATGGTAGACAAGTATCTATTCGTGGGGAAAAAAATAAATAAATAAAAATGGAGTTGTATCCATCTGCTAGTGTCACTACTCTTTCTAAAACTCGGCAAAAAGGTCTTTTAATTTGAAATATCGCTTTCAATTGTGTTTGGTAACCGGAAAATAAATAAATAAAAATAAAAAATAAAAATTAGTTGTAGAGTTTTAGGCTTAGTAGCTCAAATATGAAGTTTTTGCAAGTAAAGGTAAACTTAAAAGGAAGAGTCTATTTATGGAAAAGGAATATTTATGAAAAGTGCTCTACATACTATGTAACAAAAAACTATTTGATTTTCCAGATGCAACACTTTTTTGACAACTATATAAAAAGAAAAAGTACAGCAATGCCAAACAAGCACTAAATCCACTCACCTTAATACATAAGGTTCTGATGTTTGAGGGCTTTGCTCCTCAATTAAACTTTGTACTCTCTGCAGCAAACACAATATATACATCTCAAACTTAGAGGTAGATATCACACACAAATAGGCTACAGAGATAAAATTGAATTGGTTTTCTACCTTCACTGAACTGCCAACCTCCTCTAGTTTCTGTAATATTATTAGGTCCCCCGACTGAGGAAAAGAATCATGCTTAGAAGATTTTGACGGGGACATCTGCAGAATGGTCAGAGAGGGGAACATAACTAAAATTAATAAGAGAGAGAGAGAAAGATAAGTTATATTATGCCCTTGTTGGAATGCCTACGTCCATACGTGGAGTGTGTAGTGCCATATATTTGCTAGTATGTAAAATCTTAGAACTTCAGAATTTGTTAATGAAAAGAAAAAGACCAGTCAGTATGTGATGCTTGTAGTAGTATAGCTTACCCAAGTAGTTGGTGTCCTCAAATGTGAAACATCTTCAACTGTGGAAACTTGTCTAGAAAAGGCCTCATTTCTCATATCTGAAAGACGCGTTAAAACAGCCTGGTAAAGGCATAATGAGCGCTTGTGAGTTTGATAACCTTTGAAAAGAAGTCACCAACAACAAATAGTCTGACTTTAAAGAATACCTTCCTGAAACTAGCAGGGTTTGCAATGCCTTGGATTTGAACATCATCACTTGGGGGCCTTCTCACACCTACATTCTCAAACCTAATTGAATATACGCCAAAAAGGGACTGCAGGTATCCTGGAAAGGGTAAGGATTTCTTTAACAATGGCTGACTGATGTGATAGCAAGCCCAAAAATTATTTCAGAGCAAAGAGGAGTACTAACATCTATACTTGATGTAAAAAGTTCTATTGAAAGAGTTATAAACACTCAATCTATTTTGAAATTTTATTTCACTTATTCTTGGAAAAAAACTTGGAAAACCTAGTACAGTAGAAACCCATAGTTCTGAGCAGGGAATGCAAACATCCCACTATTTAGATAATGCAAAAGAATTATGACAACACATTTACCTTGTTCAATCACAATGTCTGCAACCGAAGGCAATAGAACATGCTTCTCTTTCTTCAAAACCCCAAAACATGGAAATGGGACGGGCCTTACAACCTGACCTAGACAATAGAGAATGTTAGCCAATTTGGCTGATACATAACTCTCATATCATAATTTTGCACAGCATTTAAATCATTGTCTTCAATGTATTAACAAAAACATAAGATGAACAAAAAACTAATGTCTCCAGCTATGCGATGCTTCAACAAAACTCAATAAACAAAAATGAACTAATTTATAGATTTTAATCAAACCATGACAACTAAAAAAATCATAATACTTAAATAATCCAATTTTTCAACAGAAAGCCAACTCCTTTTCACTGTAATTCTAATAAATCAGTAATTATTGTGTTCCTTGAACAATTGATAATGAATCCAACAAAAAATAACTGCATTGCATAAACAGAGTTGGAGAAGAGATGGATGAATAAGTTACTTTGTAAACAATGGCATTTGGTGTGAGATAGAGCCTTCTAGAGCGAATCTCTTTCCTCAATATATATCTCCGAACAGGCAAATAGAGCAACATGAACAAACCAATGCCCCAAGCCAAAACCAGAGGCAACGAGTAAAGAACCCATTGAGCCGTCCGATACTTGACAAATTTTTCTTCCATTTCTTCAAAAGACGCTCGGTATAGAACCGGTTCTTCCTCCTCCGCCGCTGCTTCACAATCTTCACGCGGGCCACTCTCCGACAGCAAACCCCTCTCCAAACAGTCAATTTCTACAACCCTATCGTCCTTGGATTCCATCTGAAGCGTCAAAAATGGATCCACAGTCAGCTAAACTATCTATTATCCACCAAAATTAAACTATTGGAATGATATTAATTCAAATGTGATGATAATGCAAAAGGAAAAATTAGAGAACCATAACCCTAACCCTAACCCTAATTCGGAGATGAATAATACTAGGAGTATTAAAGTGTGATTGTGCAGTATATATACATATTTCTATCACGCGCACGCACACATATAGACTATAAGAGATTAACAAAAAGATAGAGAGCTTACCGTTTGATTGATCGATTAGGAGTTTTCATATACTATAGATTGATATATATATATATATATATATATATATTACACAGATCGAGTTGAATATGGTTGCCGTCCAGCTCCTTCAAAACTGCTTATACAGACTTACAGATGGAGCCGAAAGTGTGTCTGAATTTTTTGGTTTGTGAAATTTGACTACAAGACCAGACAATTGTGATTTTTTATGTCCAGGCCCAGTCTTAGGCCCACGATACCCAGGCCCATGAAGGCCTACAATTATAAAGGGAGAGGCGTAAAAAGGCAAGTGTTGGAGAAAACACCATAAGAGTGTCAACAACGACGTCGTTGTGTTTCTGCAATCTGCATAAACCCTAACACAGAGTCTAGTCCGTGCTAAAACACGAAGAAGAAGAAGAAGAGGAGGAGGAGATAGGTATGATAAAGGGTATGGATAAACGAAAAAGAAATTGGGAAGAAGAAGCGATGAAGAAGAAGGAAAAGAAAGCACAAGAAACGTCGACGTCTTCGGAGGTGTTCGCTTCTTGCTCTTTTTCCAGTCTCGGTCTTCACCCTAATTTATGCCAACAGCTCCAAGGTGCTATCTCTCTCCTCCCTGATATTAATTTCACATCTTACTAGCTCTCTCTCTGTAGTTTATCCTACTACTATTTTAAACAATATTGGTACTTTCTGGTAAGCATTTCGAGAGCAATTTTATTGATTTTCATTGCCTCAATTCAACTTCATTCTTTCACAGATTTTTTTTTTTTAATTTTTTTTTAAAAAAAGAAAGTAATTTCAATAGTACTAATAAGCCAACGATACTTTCGTTTTCTCTAGTGTATCATGAATTCATTCTTTCTATCCTTTCACAGAGAGGCTGGGCTTCCAAGTTCCCACTCACATCCAGGCTCAGGCAATTCCTGTTATTCTCTCCGGCCAACATGTGTATTTCTCTCTCTTTCTATATATATTGATATGTTGTAATGCGATCGTAATATCTCAAAATCCATGTTTTCTTATTTGGAGTGTGGTATCTGTTCCTTATGGAAATTCCTAGGCTGGTTAATGCGGCTACTGGCACAGGAAAAACCGTAGCATATCTGGCTCCAATAGTTCATCACTTGCACAACTACAATCCTCGAATTCAGCGGTCTTCTGGTACTTTTGGTATGTATTTTTTTTCAGAACAAAGATTGTTTGTTTATTCATGATTCTCTATTTGTTATTGCCATGCTATTCTCATACTGTGTTTTCTTTAGCATTACATTTTCGGAACCACATCGAAACTTTGGAGGGGTATTGGGATGCAATTCTCTATTCATGAGGAAAAAAAGTAGAACTTTTGTGTGGTCTTCCATTTTTTTTATTTATCAAAGAGGAGAGTATTTCTAGGCTTTGAGTTTCATCATATTATAAACCTCATGCTTGCTGATGTTTGATTTTTGGGGTCAATAATTGCTCATCATGGAGCTTAGGCTGTGAGCTTGCTCTTTGTTCTGTCACTCTCAAGAAGTACATCTCGTTGTTTTCTTCATTGCTGCATTATAGCTCATGTAAACCATCCGATGGCAATTCGATTTATCTGATGTCTTCCTCATAGCGTTGGTTCTTGTACCAACGCGTGAGTTATGCATGCAGGTATATGAAATCTTGCAAAAGCTATTGCACCGTTTCCATTGGATTGTCCCTGGCTATATAATGGGTGGTGAAAGCAGGTCAAAGGAGAAAGCTAGGCTGCGAAAAGGTAGGAAATTATGCATAATTATGTCTTCATAATTTTGTTGTTCTAGATTTGAACTTTCCTTTTACTAGATTAACTGTTTGACCTTTCAGACCAGAATTTTTGTTAATGACCTTTGTAACATTGGTAACCAATGTTGGCCCTAAATCAGCAAAAGCATTCAGGATGTCATTATTTATTTTAATTTTAACTCCTTTTTACTTTTAAAATTTTGATAATTATTACCAGTGGATGCATTGCAACAATGGGTTTTACAGGCAACGTAAGTTTGTAGTTTGAGATTTGAACATTTGCTATGATATTACAGTGCTTGGAGTTTTCAGTATTCTGTAACAGAAAGAATAACCTCTATTACATGCACTCTTTCATTTCTCCTTATTTACCCGTGTTCACACGACACGACATGGGTATGGTATAGAATATGTGTCCGGCACACGAACCCAAATTGGATACCCAATCCTTCACATGGCATGAATTAAGAAGAAAAAGAAACTCAAACTTAATAGCAGATATTCCGTTCATATCTATGAGATAGATGGAAACCATTTTCTTTTACCACATCTAATTTGATTTGAGTAATGATTTAGTATATTCTTATAAATAACAACATTAACACCACAAATAAATACATAATGTATTTAAATTCGTAGTAGGTGTCTACGTACCCACATCCTAATTTTCGACACATATCACCATACCTTAAGATTTAGATTCAAGCAGGTCCAACACTTAGACACACATCAGCACCCGATACACTTATCCGAGTCCGGGTAACATAGAGGATGGCTGGGCTTATAGTTGTTACATAGAGGATGGGGGGCTTATAGTTGTCTTAGTAAAAAATTTAATTTGAATGCATTTGCAGGCATATCTATTCTTGTTGCAACTCCTGGGCGTCTTTTGGATCATTTAAAGAATACGTCATCATTCTCGCATACAAATTTGCGCTGGATAATATTTGATGAAGCAGATAGGTATTATCTACAATCATAATCTGCAAATCTATCTCCTCCATAATAAAGCTGTGTTCATTTTTTTATGATGTCTTTCAACTGAGTTACTTTTCTTATGCACCTAAACAGGATCTTAGAACTAGGATTTGGTAAAGACATAGAAGAGATACTTGATATTTTGGGTTCAAGGAAAAACAGGTCCGTTACTGATGAGAACGCAGTTCCAAGGAGTTCAGAAGTTCAAAGGCAGAATTTGCTGTTGTCAGCTACCTTAAATGAAAAAGTAAATAATCTTGCTAAAATTAGTTTAGAAAATCCAATTATGATTGGTCTTGATAAGAAAAAGGTGCAACCAAATCCCTCTATTGGACATTTGGGATCTTTAGGATCTGACAAGGATGATGAATTAGAGGATTCAGGAAAATTTACCTCTTCAAATGGAGAATATAAGCTTCCAGCTCAATTAGTTCAGAGCTATGTGAAAGGTACACATTAACAAAAAGTTTTATTTGGTTAAACTCATCAATTGCAAGTGATATGAGAGTTCTAATTGAATTTTCTCTATAGTGCCTTGTGGTATACGGGTTGTGGTACTTCTTTCCATTCTAAAGACTCTTTTTGAGAGAGAAGCTTCCCAGAAGGTGTGTACCCTTCAACTTCCAAATTGCTCTTTGTTCTGCATTGTGTACCAGTGTACTGTTTGCTAGTTTAAACACATTTAGATATCATAAAATTCTGTTGCTTATCTGCAAAAGATTTGCCTTTCTACTATTTATCAAAAAAAAAAAAAAAAAAATTTGCCTTTCTACTGCATGAGAACTCTTTCAATTATGGCTCTAAATTTTCTTTTCCTTCACTTAAATTTCTTACGTTTTTTTCAAGCTTATGAAAAGTGTCTTATAAAAGTTTTCTGTTTAAAGTCCTGAGAAATATTTGTTTAATCATTTCCATTATTCGGTAGTAGATTGTTACGACTTTCTGATGGTTTATTATCCAGAATGTTTGCCATATTCTCAATTCAGTTTCGGACATTAACAATACAGACTTCTTACCACAAGGCAGAGATCATAATTTTCTCCTCTCTTTATATATGAAGAAAAGTCCTTCATGTCTCCTTTGTATTAATACAATTTATACGAATGAATTTCAACATATATTGATTTACTCTGATTGTTCAATGTTGTTGATTTCACTCATGTATTTGTTTTTACAGATTGTGGTATTCTTTTCAACCTGCGATGCAGTAGATTTTCATTATCTGCTGCTAACTGAATTTCAGTGGTCGCCGAACTCGCAATCAGAACCAAAACTTCAACAGCTGTTTGTGAGATGCAAAACTTTTCGGTTACATGGAAACATGCAGCATGAGGATCGGAGAACTACATTCCAGGCCTTCAGAACTGAGAAGTCAGCTCTTCTCTTGTCCACAGATGTTTCTGCTAGAGGACTGGATTTTCCAAAAGTTAGATGCATAATACAATATGATTCTCCTGGGGAAGCTACTGAATATGTGCATAGGTGCCTATTTATTTTTTTTCTCTTTCTTAATTGCTATCTTTGTAATCTATTGATTTTTCCTGGGTGACTAAGTGACTCTCTGTGCTGCCAAGGATTTTTAGTTAACTGTACAACTACTTATGTGTGTGTGTGTGTGTGTATATAAAATTATATATATGATATTTGCTTGGAATGTGTGCAAACATCACAAATATTCATGTGCTCAACCTGCTATATGCTCTCAGATGTTAAATTTTACTGACCAGACAAATCTGCTTAATTTTATATTCCTGATAATATTTATATGATTCTATGTGGGTTTTGGAGCTTGGTAGAGTTTCTGGGCCTCTTTCAAATGCATATTGAAGCCCATATGCGTGTTTGTGCTGGTTAAGTCTTCTACTGGACAGGTTCTACAGGGTTTAATGCTACCATTAATCCATGATGCAGGGTTGGGAGAACTGCTCGCTTGGGTGAAAGGGGAGAGACTCTTTTATTTCTACAGCCAACTGAAATGGATTATTTGCAAGAGCTGGATAAACATGGTGTTTCACTAACAGAATATCCACTTCTCAAAGTGTTGGATAGTTACCCACTGCAAGGTCAGAAGCTTCATGTCAAGAAGTTTGTTTCCTTAGAGATGCATCCTTGGGTGCAGTTTCTGCAGAAAGCACTTGAATCTTTCATCTTTGCAGAGGTAAAACCTTTTAACCTTGGCATTACCTTTTTTTTTTTTTTTAATTGTCAACGGTAAATCTTAATGCATATTGAACCTTATTTTTAAGCAGTATTAGACTCGCTGAAGTTGTCAACCTGTCTGCTATCGACTTCCCTAACATTATGTTGATTGATTTGAAGTTTGGACATATTTCATAATCATGCATTTCACAGTTTTGCCTACCTGGTGTTAAACCTAGCTATACTGCATTTAATGAAAGTCCAGCTCATGTGCACTAAGTTTATCTAGTTTTAATTGATAGTGGTAAGAATACTTTCATGTTCTTCAAATTGATGTTTTGCCGCTTTATCTCATCTCAGACGAGGATGAAGAACTTAGCCAAGGATGCATTTTGCTCTTGGGTCCGTGCTTACACTGCCCATCGTGGTGACCTGAAAAGGATTTTTACAGTGAAAAAACTTCACTTGGGACATGTGGCGAGAAGTTTTGCATTGAAAGATCAACCCTCCTTGGTTGGAAAATCATTCCAAATTCAAACAAAAAAGAGGAAGAAGGATCAAAAACAGAAGGGAAGAATATCAAAAAAGAGGAGGATTGGCATTACATCTTGAAGCAAACCAGAATGAGCCACTCAACGTCATGTCCAACTGGCAAGTTGAAGAATGATATGTTTACTAAAGTTTGTCACACACAGGTCACCATCTTCAGTGGATTCACATGTGCGCATGTTACTGTCAGAATTCTGGATTTGCTATCTTTTGGAGTTTCAGTGGTTCACATTTCTTGGTTAGCTCGGTGGTAGTTGACCACAACCGAACATATAGAAGCCAAATTACACCACATGAATGTTTGTTTTTTTTATTTTTTTTGGCATTCAATCTCGAATTTGTGTAGTTGTAATTTGATTTTACAATAGAAAAAAATGCATCAAAACAAAACATTGAAATTTTGTATTTGCAAATTTGGTAGTTTGATCAATTTGATGAGTGCTTGACTAGGGTTCAAAGCTAAGTAACACTACGGGACTGTGACTGCCACTGTGTGTAGTTTAGATTTTACTGTGTGAGTTGAGTTCAAAGTGCATGTCTGGTAAGCAAATCCATCCAATAATGGGGTTCATGTGACTTTATAAAAACCAGTAAATCTTTTCTAGTCAGTTAAGGGACCCAACCGTAAAAGCAGGCACCGTAGAGCATCGTACTGGTTTGACGAGTGGAGTAGCATGAACATAATGATGAGGTGTGCGTTCTCCCACGTTAGGTCAATCTAGCATCTCCTGGTTTTGGTTCACTTGTGGGCCCAAATGGGCAGACAAATCACATTTAGAATTATTCAGTGGGCCATTCTCTATTTAATTTACAGGCCCAATGGCCCACTTCAGGTCCTAAGTGTCGGGTCCAACTTTTCAGTAATCAGAATCTTTCGATATCCAAGTCCACTAAGATTTGATTTTTTTTTTTTTTTTTTTTAAAAAAAAAAAAAGAAAAAAGATGAGAGGCATGTTATACGCATGTCACACTATTTCACTTGAAAGGAAAATTGTTGGAAATTCCTTTTTCTTTTGATACTAAGGACATTAAAATTTAAGCATATTGGTTGTCAAAAATAATATTTACTAACGTCAAATTAATACAGTATATAACGGTGACATTAAGTAATAAGTACTCCAATTAGTGGCACAGTTTTCTTGTAACAGTACTTTCTTGCCATTTTGTAAAGAGTGCTACTTTTAGCATCAATTTTAAGTTTTAACCAATGGCTACGTGGAGTAGTAACTTTGTAATGTTAGAAGAAAGAGGTCAATAATTCAGGTTGTGTCCCCACAGAAGAAGTCTGCTATATATATATATATATATATATTTCTTATTGTATGCCCAGTCGCCCACGTGAAGGGGCAATAATAGCACATTATTAATAGTAGTAATAGATAACAGGCAGAGTGGAGTGTAAGAAAGAAAGAAGCTATACTAACTTATTTTGGGTGCTGTCGGTGTTGAATGCAGAAATTGTTCGTGTAGTTCAACCCCCAGAAAATAAAATTTTAAAAAATCACAACATATATATAACAATATATACGTACACAAAAACCTATGAATATGGCCGACTTTTGCATGAAAACAGGGTTTGAGTGGTGGTTGGTTGAAGGTTGGAGGAAGTGTGATCGAGGAGACAAAAACCATCATATCCTTAGAAAACCACCCAGAGAAGGTTCCCTCCAGCCCTTGTTTATGCCGTGATTCTCGTTTCCTGTTTACCCTTTTCCGTTTATCATCACTTTTTATCCTCCCTCTTAAATGATACACACATATATATATATATATATATTATATATACATACATACATATATATATATATATGGATAAATTATTAAGAAAGTCAAAATCAGCTATTTGTCGCCTAAGAAGAAATTGGCCCCTTAAAAATTCTATATAGATTGATTATATCATTTCCATATGAGACTTTGGTGAATGTCATTTTCACAACACTCTTCTCCTATGTACAAGCACACGTGTATGGTGTACCATTTTTTTTTTTTTAAAAAAAAAAAAAGATTGAAATGAGCCTTTGAAATCAAACTCATCTATTGATTTTGTAAAAGTTTGTTAATCCTAATCCATGTGAATGCTGCCTTAAGATAGTCCAAATTAATAAGACATTTGTTGGGATGGATGGATGGATGGAAGGGGAGAGGAGAGAGGAAACAATAGAGAGATGGAACAAATTTTAGTTGAGTGAAAGGAAAGGATAAGAGGAGGGATGAAACATTCCGGCTCAGGACCCTACAATTAAAATAAAGATAAAGTTGTTCTTTTGAATTTATATATCTCTTTCTCTCCTCTCGAAAAATTATTAATGGAAACCAAATTGTGGGTTAAGAGAGACGGCTTATCCCTCTATCCAACTTTTCCCTACCAAACAATAAAGTCTTGGTCCATCCCTTCTCTCATCTTTTCCTCCTACTAAGTGAAGCATAAATTTATATATCACCGATTTCCTTCTCTTCTATTCCAACCAGCTAAACAAATGGAGTTGTTTTTCATTTTAGTAGTTGTTTAATTTGAGGAACCATCAAATGGATGCATGTATTGCTTCTTACCGTGCATTTACATTCCCGACTGTTGGATTAGGAGTTGATTATGATAGACATGCCTTAAAATAAGAAAATGTGTTGAATTTATAACTACATTTTGGGTAAATTACACTTACATTCTCTTTAGTTAGACTTACTTTCCTGTGTTTTGGTTAATTATAATTACCTCACTTCTAATTACATATATAATTTCACTAACCACCTTTACAGATGGTCAACACTGATGTAGTAAGTTATTTTTTAACTTCTCAAGGAAAATATGTCCCCATATTATCTAAAAACTCTTTTATCCATTTAATTATCGAAAAAAAAAAAACTCTTTTATCCAATACTTATTGCATAAAAAGATAATTATACTCTTAACGAAGGATTAACAAGAATGTTGTGAGTTGGGGAATCGCTAATAATATTCATAATTCTTTATTTTTTGAGAGTTGAACTTTATTGTTCATCTTCCTCTTGTGGACCATATATAAAGTTTTCATGCCCAACCTTGATGCATCTATGACCTCTTTCCTCCACCGATAAAAAAAAAAAAAAAAAAAAAAGAAAAAAGATGCAAAGTAAGGTGGTGCATGCTTAATTAGATGATTTGAGTGAGAGATATTTATCTTGTATGACGTAATCACTCGCCTCTTTTTCTTCCCATGCAATCATTCCACTCCCACTTGCCAAAAACACACAGCAATAACTGCTAGTGTCATGCCAACTTGGAAGGTAATACAGTTTCACCCCTCTAGCTTTCCTTTGGGGGATAAGAATTCTTAATGTTACTGCAAATAATAAATAAATGTTTCTGATGTAAAACTATATGTATTTGAAATATATATATATATTGGTCTAAATGATGTTTGCTGTATATGTTGGGATGTTAAACAAGGTTAATTTGTAGAGTGATATAAAATTAACATAACTATTATTCATACCAATCTTTCACACCTTAGAGAACAATATCAATATATATATATATATATATATAGTGATGATGTATAAAGAAAGGAGAGAGAGAGAGAGAGAGTAGCTAGGGTTGGAAGTGGGCTGGGAAAGAAGTATAATGACCTCCATGCACCAGACCTTTATCCTCTCAATAAGTTGAAGGACAGAGTGGAAGATGATTGATTGAACCCCACCTTATAATGGTGCAATAAAAATGTTTGCCCCACACTCAGAAAAATATGTTGTGCCTTCTCTTTCCTTTGGGGATAATACAAAGAACTTTCAACCCCCCCTTCGTAAGCTAAGAGATATAGTTGAATCACCTGGATGTTGACCTTAGTGGCTCCATCATCAACATCAACTCTCTCTCTCTCTCTCCCTCATATGGATGCTGCATGCATTAACAAGCGTAGGGACCATGTGTTGGGGTGAGTTCATCAACATTGTGATATATATTGGGATCCTCTGCGATGTCCTGACTACATCGGACGGATCTCAGCACTTGCACGTGTGAGAATTTCCCATGCCATGTACACCGCAAAGATTCCGAGCTCACGGGTTGTGTCACAATCTCAAGACTGATTATGTATTTAACATCTGTAGATCAATTTAATGTCGACCATAGAATTTTAAGGTAGTTAAGCAGAGAATAATGAAGGTCGTCATGATTAGGTTAAACAAATCAAGCACTTCATTAATGAGTTTATTCTTCACTTTTTCTCTATCTTGTGTTGCCGTATATTAATTTCTTTGATTTGCAGATCAAAACCCTAGAATTTTAATTAAAGACCATATAGCAGCCCATGTGCATACCTAACACGTTATCATTCAATTGGCACGTCAATACAACTACTAGTAATTTATTAGAAACACGGAACGGAATCATTCCGTTTGCCCCCATGCCCTAATTGTGAAATTTTACTTTGAAAGCATGGGAATCTAATACATATCTATACACGCTATACATATATATATATCACTTACAAATGTCACAAAGCATCTTGTACTTGTCATTCATGATAACATGCATGTGGAGACCAGTAATATTGGTGCTCTCTTGTCTCTCTCTCTCATCAACTTTATGTATATTTTCAGAGGTAGTGATCAAATGTGTTTCAAGTGGAAAAGAGCACAAGTGATAAGCAATTCTCGTTATGGTACATACATGGCTATATTACCCATTAAGAGCAATATTTGTTTTGAAGCAAAAGCTCTCTCTCTTTCTTTCTCTCTCTCTCTCTCTATATATATATATATCTGAAAGTGACATATAGGGGAGGCCACTATGCATGCATGGGTGTTTGCTGTGGTAGCACAATCACATATGACCCAAGCATCTATTATGGGCTGTCTCCTTTACTTGGCTACTTAATGAGCAATATTTATTTCTTGTTTGAAAGCAAAGTTTCATTTTTAAACAACATACATATTTGTAAAATTTCAACATGGGATTTTAGTGTCTACCATGCCCTTATAATTTTCTACTTTCCAGCTAGCTTGCTATCTCGAATCAAGGAAAAGGGTCTTGAAATGGGGGTATAACATGTTTCTAAGAAATTAATGATACATTGAACTTATTTATGGATAATGATTCTCAAACCTATTAGTTAAGCCGAGAATCCTAACTGATGGATTTCTAATCACTGAATGGATAGAATAAGGTCAAAACTTTAATTTTATCAGGGACGAACCCAAAAAATTATGTAAGGGGGACCTTTAACAAAATATGTTGTCCGGCAATAATGAGATTTTTCTCTAATTTCAGTAGTTGCAAAAGCTTCATGAAAAGCTAGCCTCAAATGATGATGAATATACAGAGGGGACAGATCAATCTATGGAATCTAGCAATCAGATCAAACTCTAACCTTAAAGAGTTACTGAGGAGTTCCGACTTAGCATGCATTATGAAAAGGACAGTAAAGAATTAATACTAGTATACCAAGTGATTCACATGTATGTCCTAGCTAGTATATATATATATATATAGTAGCTTAATACGGAGTAGTTATTAATCCAAACAATACATTATACAATAATAATATTCATGTGTTGTATGGATAGTATAAGATCGAGAGAAGCAGTGACAGCACAGCGATTAAAGGGAGGGTCCGTAGTCTGTACCAAGTAACGAGTCAGAGGCATATGCATGGCTTGTTTTGTAGTACTCTGACTAGCTATACAACAGCCAAGGGATCAGTATCAGCATCAGCTAGAGAGAGAAAAGAAAAGAAAAGAAAGGAAAGGAAAAGAAAAGAAAAGAAATCAAAACCCCAAATTGTGGTCGGAGAAAGGAGTGGTTGGCCCGACAAAAGCTGCAATTCATCACATGGTTGGGGGTTTCCTGCATTCTTCCACCGGACACCAAGTACCCCCTTCACTACTGATATATCATACTCATTCTTTTATCTTTTTTATCCTATATATATATGTATGTATATATATATATGTATGTATCTATCTTTGTAGTAGTAGAATACATATTTCTACCCCCACTGGACTTTCTTTTATTGACATCCTAGTATTTATTTTTGATGCATAAGGGCTTCAAGATTAGCGTCATTCGAATATCATTAACAAAATTTTGAGAAAAAATATTATTGACAAATTGTAGGCTCCTGTTCTTTGAGTCAAGCTGAGACATGAAAATATATGAGAGATATCACTAAACTTTGTTTGGTTAGGTAGAAACACTTGGAAAGAGAAAAATTTTAAATTTTTTAGAGTTTTGGATAGATAGAAAGAAAGAGAAAACTAATAGAAAATTTCGTTTCCGAATTTAGTATTTTCCCTTAAAAAAATTTCACCAACAAACAGGTGAAAATTTTATTTTCACGCCTATTTATTTGCAATTCCTATTTTACCCAGTAACTTAATCGTGCATAGTTCTCTCCAAAACAACTTTTATTCTGAGGTAAGTTCTCTCCAAAACAATTTTTACTCTAAGGTAAGTTTGCAACACAAATTATATAGTTATATATACAGAATATCAATTATAATTTGTGTAAAATTGCTCAAATTAGATCCTGCTTCTAAATAGAATTTTTTATTTTTTTTAATTGTCTGTTCTATGTTGCAATTCTAGCCACTCATAATCCACATATATATATATATATATTTTATATGATTAAATATTTAATTTTTCTCCCAAACAGTAGTATTGCCTATTCATCTCTTATTTTTTATCATAATTAGTTTTACTTAAGAAAATATTATGAAGCTTTATTCTAAATATAAATAATAGAAATGAATATAAACAATTATATATTTGAATGAAATAATCCATCATTTTACTACATAAGGGTAGTTTTGGTATGCATACTATTCAAACTAACAAAATAATATTTTTTTATAATTTTCTTGTATAAATTTTCATGCTGACTAAATGCATATTATAAAATTTCTTTTCTTTTCATTCACTTCACTTTTCTTTCACTTTCTTTTCTTGTTTATTTCCATCTAATCAAACAGAGCCTAAGACAATATGAAGAATACAGAAAAGTGGATTGAGGGAGAGAAAACCAGCCTAATCTGATGACTAAAACGATGGTAGAGAAGGCGAAGTCTGGAGTATTGTCAGAGCCCAAATTCCTTGTGTGTTTCCGTTTTTGCCTTTGCCACCTCTTTATATAAAGAGGTCCTAGGTTATTAAGATGTATGTTGGGCATGTGAATAAGATGAGTCAGGCCCCATGTTCCTTTATGGATCATGATGTCCTAATCTCTGTTCTTTCAGTTCTGTTGTCAAGTGTACGTATCTCCTTGAATGACCTAAATGGAAGGTAGTTGTAAAGATCTCTATACTTACTCCAGCATTTCTGTTGTTCTTATCCTCAAATTGGGTCTTGCCTTGGCAAGACTTAGCTAATTTTTCATCTTCCATTTCAAAGTCCCTTCTATATTCCAACTGGCCTCGAAAAGTCCTACCATTACTCTTTCGTTGTTCATTTTGTTTAGGAAAATGTGGTTCGGTCAGATCGAGATTCAAGGCCCTTTGATCGACCATTTGCGGCTGAACGGGATCGAGATTCAAGGCCCGTCAATCGATAGTTTGTGGCTTGGTTGGATTAAGGTTCAAGACCCGTCGATTGACAATAACTAGATCGGATCGAAGTTCAAGGCTAGTCGATCGACAATTTGTGGCTAGATCGGATCGAGGTTCAAGGCCCGTCGATCGACAGTTTGTAACTAGGTTTGATCAAAGTTCAAGACTTATCGATTAACAATTGCTTTTGTTGAGTTGGATTTTCAATATTGACCGAAGGTCATTTTATCTTTTTACTATTCTTCTTGGAAGCTGGCACTAATGTGGTGTCAACTTGATTTGACTTTTGATGACATGACATAAATTACATCCACACAAGTTATCTCATCTAAATATGACACAACAATATAACAAATTATTAGGTAAATATATATTCATACACCATTTTCAAATATCCACAATAAAACTCCAATCTTCTTCTTAAAGCGAGGTTGTACCAGACCTCTATTACTTTTTTATTTTTAAGGTTGCTTTGGGTTTTAAATCCTATGTCTTAAGTCAATTAAGTTTCAAGACTAAGTAAAGAGAATAAAAAAAAAAATTATTGTAATTTAATACAAAATATTACATCGTATATCTCACAACAGGTATGTTATATACCAGTATACCGCAGACCTAACAGTTTTTCGTAACTGTTTTTTCCAGTAGGTCAATAAACTATTTTGAATTTGTTGTAATAGTAGTAAATACTAATATTTAATGCTTAAGAAGACTCAACATCAAAATGTTCGCATTGACATCACATATACAGTTAAGTTACACACATATATACGTTGAGCTATGGCTATCATAAATGCATTTTTCCACAGTAAAGCGACTGATGATGTTTGACATATAAATTTCAAGACCTTCTAAAAAACAACATTTTTCTATTATTATCGGTAAGAATCTACCGTACAAAAAAATATTAAAAAAAAACTCTCATTAAAATTCTTTTTTGTTCATCTTTCTAAGGAAAGAAGAATGAGCCACAAGAAAGCCGTTACCAGTCCCACCTTCAATTCCTGTAATTATAGTGTTTTTGGGTAATTAATTAACTTTGGCTCCACAATGATAGATTAGTGTTGTGTTCCATATAAAGGAAGGAAGAGGTGTGAAGAGAAAAAATAAGAAAAAAAAGAACGAATTTTTTTTGTTTGGTAGAGATTATACAAGGAAAGAAAGAAAAATAGTAAAGATAACTTATCTTTCTTCCTTTACAAATTTTCATTCGCCCAAACAGAAAAAATGAGAGAAGACAAGTAAATTATTATAAAAATTTTAAATTAAATACTCTCCTAAATACTTCTTTTTTCTTCTCTCTTAATAAATATAATAAATTATCATCATTTATCCAACCGAACAAAAAGAAAGAAATATACAATCTCTTCTATAAAGATGTTTCATCCATTCCTTCTTTTCCTTACATCCAATTCTTTTCTTTTCTACCAAACAGGGCATGGGAAAATAATAGAATTGACGAGACGAGATTTCTTGGTATCTCACAGATGTAAATATTATAGTGTGGGTAATATGTTTTGTATGACACTTAACTAATCCCGTTAGTCGGGTGTGGCGTGTCAGTTTTAATAGGGTAATTGAAATCATTTTAAAGTATACTTCATAGAAGAACATATACATATATAACAAAAGAAGAATATATTGGCATGCTGATTAGGTCACTGGCCACGAGAGCCGGAGATTTCTCACATGCCGTAAACCATGGAGGTCCGACATTATTATACTTCAATTAAAGTAGTACTTTGATGATTCCTAAATTGTTTGGCCAACAACTTTGTTAAATTAATAATCTAGGGATTATATATATATATATATATTGATCAAAGTTTTGGTTAATTAAATTAATCATATCAGGATTATGTCAGGTTGATAATCACGAAAAATCTTTTAATTTTTCAGAAGAAACATTATACTTTTCTGGAAGAATAACTTTAACATCATATAGTCTTAAAGTCAAAATACCTCTATTATATCGAAGACTAAAAGGGCTTGTAACTTTTGCTTAATAAAGAGTTACATTTTGAAGAAACAAACAAATATTTTAATAAATAAATAAAAAGGTAAGGAATGACATGATGTTTATCATAACATTGTAAAGACTGTAACATGTTAATTTTATGAAATCTTTTTGAAAACTCTCTTTAAATAACTTTTATTTACTTTCAAAAACAATACTCACAGTACTCACAGTCTATATTCTATATGTTAGTATTGTCTTTGACCCAAAGAGTTAAATGACTATTATATATTTTATATTTTTATTGTTATTGTTATTTAATATAAAATATTTATTTTTTATTAACAAAATAACCCTTTCAAGCTTAGCATTCTCGATTATTAAAATTATATTTAGCATGATATTAACAAACAAGAATGCTAAATTTTATAACAGGTCCGTCAATATTATTAATTTATTCAGACCTTAACCACAGGAAAAGTGAGAATTATACTTAAAATTAAATGAGAGATTTTTAGTTAGTGCGCGTACCCGGCCCTACCCTCCCAAAACAAAAGTCAAGGGTTGTAGCATTTTCATGGAAATTGAATTAATTGATTGTATGTATTTCACATGTGTGTATACTATAGGTCTTGTCTCGTCCATCACTAATTTACCATCCTGTATCTTATGTCTTGTCTTCACATATAAGTCACGTTTTGTAAATAGTGAAGAAAATTTGAAACACCATTTTAATATTTTTACATATTTCAACCCTGTAAAGTGTGATAAATTTATATATATATATATATATATATATTAAAATACTCTTAAATGATAATTTTAAATTAACATCATATAGTCTTAAAGTCAAAATACCTCTATTATATCGAAGACTAAAAGGGCTTGTAACTTTTGCTTAATAAAGAGTTACATTTTGAAGAAACAAACAAATATTTTAATAAATAAATAAAAAGGTAAGGAATGACATGATGTTTATCATAACATTGTAAAGACTGTAACATGTTAATTTTATGAAATCTTTTTGAAAACTCTCTTTAAATAACTTTTATTTACTTTCAAAAACAATACTCACAGTACTCACAGTCTACATGTTAGTATTGTCTTTGACCCAAAGAGTTAAATGACTATTATATATTTTATATTTTTATTGTTATTGTTATTTAATATAAAATATTTATTTTTTATTAACAAAATAACCCTTTCAAGCTTAGCATTCTCGATTATTAAAATTATATTTAGCATGATATTAACAAACAAGAATGCTAAATTTTATAACAGGTCCGTCAATATTATTAATTTATTCAGACCTTAACCACAGGAAAAGTGAGAATTATACTTAAAATTAAATGAGAGATTTTTAGTTAGTGCGCGTACCCGGCCCTACCCTCCCAAAACAAAAGTCAAGGGTTGTAGCATTTTCATGGAAATTGAATTAATTGATTGTATGTATTTCACATGTATGTATACTATAGGTCTTGTCTCGTCCATCACTAATTTACCATCCTGTATCTTATGTCTTGTCTTCACATATAAGTCACGTTTTGTAAATAGTGAAGAAAATTTGAAACACCATTTTAATATTTTTACATATTTCAACCCTGTAAAGTGTGATAAATTTATATATATATATATATATATATATATTAAAATACTCTTAAATGATAATTTTAAATTAACCTTTATATTTTTCAATCTTATAATAATTTTTTACCAAATTTATTTTCATATTGTTCTAATTTGACAACAAATCAATATTACCAAATATATTTTTAATTGCTATTCAAAACACTTTACAACAAAATATTTATTTTATTTTAAATTAAAATATAAATTCAAAAACAAAATACATAGTAAACATACCCTATATAAATAGTCTCTTGTACATTTGTTTGGCATCATACATTGTAAAATTCGTATTTACCAACTCTGGTAAGAAATCAATTTGAACGACTTTGAAATCTCAAAATCAACCTCAATTGGAGACAAAATAACAAACAAACAAACAAATATAAAAAAAAATCATAATAATCGTCAAATCAATCAAAAAGTAAAAAATCATATTTTGCGTGAGTCTTATCTAGGAGGGGTAAGTGACTGACAGTGCACATAGGAGTGCATTTAATTGTGACAGCAATGGAGGTGATGATGGAATTGCATTATTAAAGGATCTCATTTCCAAATTTTGCATTATGTCTTATATAAGTCGGTCCCTCAATTCATCTAGGATCATCGTCCTATATCAATTCAGTTTCACACCATTCATTTCACACTATTACCATAATTTTGAAAAAATTAGAGTTGACATAAATCCTGACACCTGCGTAAAAAAATATTATTGATTCTTATAGAGGTACAACTTTTAGATAGATATGTATCATTTTTTGTGCATTTAGATGTCACTTTTTGTACATCAGGTATCATTTTTGTTTTGCACATAGAGGTACCATTTTTATTTATATCGGTATCACTTTTTGTGCATCAAATATCACTTTTTTGTACAGCACAAAAAGTGGTACCTGATGATAAAAAGTGGTACTTATGTGCCTAAATGTGATACCTTTATGAAAGTAAACAGTATTTTTTCATGTATTCATTTTTTTAAAACTATGAGATTTTGACTCTATCAAATAATAAATATGGGTTATATATTAGTACCATTTATATATAATAATCTCTTAAATAAAATCTAGCGAATTCTCGTTCATGTGATTGTTTATTTTTTATAAGCTCAATGCAAAACTCAAAACTTGTAAAAGGTTAATTAAATTGTTAATATTATAAAAATAAATAAATAGTACATTGAGTTTTCAAATGAAACAATTATTATGGGGCGGATAAAAACGAAAAAGATAGACACTTATTTTTGAGACCAACGGAGTAATTATGTTTTGTCATTTTTAAATGTATTATAAGTCTAACATAAGGTCTTCTTTTATTACTTCTAATCTTCTAAAATTTTATACAATACCTTTACATAAAAGTATTTATAAAAAGGTAAAGTATAATTATGTATAGCAATTGGGTGGGTTTTGGACTGAATGAATAAGTTAATAATGAGTCAATAATCCATTATCAACTCATTTATAATAGGTGATAAAAGGGTTGTGTATTAAATCAGCTAGTTAAGACATCCTGCCTAATTAACTAAATATTTTAGATACAAATTGTCAAATTATTTTAATTGTTGAATACAATATATATATTAAATTTATAAAAAGAATATTTTTTTCCTTTTATTTATTTATTTATTTTTTTGGGAAAAAGTTCCTTTGAGAGTTATCACAGCCCAAAAAAAAAAAAAAAAACAGAGGAGAGAGAAACGGAGAGAAGAGAGAAACAAGAATAGCGAGAGAGATAGAAATATAAAATATTAATATTAATAATATTAGAACACCTAAACTACCTAAACTTGGAGTAATATTATTACTATTATGATTGTTGAATAACAAAAAAAAAAATACATTAATTTTTTATTTCAAACATTACAATTTTTTTTTCTTTTTTTACGACAGAAAAGAAAAGAAAACAGAGAGGAGAGAAGAGAAAAAAAATAAAAATAGGATTTTGACCCATTCACTTAACTTTGGGTATCCAAATTATTTAATTTTAATGGCGTGCTTAGGCGGTTTAATGAATTTGGGCTTAAATTGTTACCCCTAAATGCAATAAACCCCACTAAACTTTACTAAGCAGTACCCCCTGAACTATTTAAAAAGTGAAATTTAAGGACAAAATCAAAATTTGCCGTCACCGGAGATATTAGATTACAAAATTACCCTTTAATAAAACGATCTCGTTTGATTGCAAAAAGAACCCTGAACTATTGCCCTTTCACAACCAAAAAAACAAACAAATAAAACAAATAAAGCCCTAAACTACAAACAAACCCCTTAAACTAACGATTTATTGTAACTAAAGATATACCCATCACAAAAAATAATCTTACCCATTCTTATTAAATTGGTTATTTCTTATTAAATTATCTTTATTATCCTTTCCTTATCTAAATATTAATTATACCATTTATCTAAAAAAATTCTTTTTCAAATTTACCATAATTTTATTATTTATATCAATTTATCATAACAATGGAAAAAAAATTAAAAATACAGTATTGTAACTTCCATCAAATTTAGCCATTTTCTAAAATAATTAACTTATTTTTTAAAACTTTACTATTTAAAGTATAATTTATTATACTCTGTTTAAACTTTTTTGCAATGAAAAAATACTTTCTTTTTTTATTTATATACAATGTATTAATAAAAAAAGAAATTACTTAAATATAAAAATGCATTTTTTCATACAGTATATTCATGAAAAATAGAAAATTACTTAAATTTTTTTGAAAAAAATTCTGCTTAAGATTTTTATTAAAAAAATTAATTTCAATAATTAATGATAAATTTATGCACATTTGTTGGGAAATAAGTCATTAAAATAGTATAATTTTGTCTGTATTTTTTATGAAAAAAATATATTAAGTGTAATTCAATAAAAAAAAAGCATTATGGTTATTTAACAAAAAAAATGTGATAATTCAGGGATTATTAGTAAATTTGGACATAGTTAAGGGGATTATTTGCACTTTACCCTTATATATTTTAATGATAATAAGGGTAAAATTGTCATTTTAAAATTACAACCTAGGCTTAACTGGTAAAATCAAACTAGTGACGTCGGGTATTTTTTTGCAAAAAATCCAATAGTTTATTGTGCTTGTTATAGAAATAGAAATTCAGATGTATTAGGAGAGAAAGTAAATATTGGATTTTTTTTGCACTTTACCATTTATAAAATTAAAGAATGATAAATAATTATTATCCGAAATATAACCTATAATGACTATATCTTTCTTTATCTTCTTTCCAAGCAAATAAACAAAAATTTAAGAAATGTGATTTAAGGAGAATCTGAGATGATTATTATTATTAATTTTTAAAAATTTCAAAATCTGAGGTGAATTTATATAAGCGGAATTTAAGGGGAAGAATATTGTCTGCTTAGAGCAAAGCACGCCTTTTTATTTTAAACCTCTCCAGTCTATTTTCTGTCGGCTTGTTGTAAGCTGTTGTAACTTGTAACTAGTAACATTACAACCTTACACATACATTAATACTATAAATATATATATATATATATATATAGCCAAATATATAAATAAAGCTACCTCGACTTGCTCTCTTTGGCGTCAGATTTCCCGGGGACTCGTCAGATCTCTCCGCTGTGATCCCGGTCATTACTCCGTGCTTGTACCTTCCCCCCACCTCTCTTCGCTCTCCCTGGATCAAAAAATCTTCCCTTCGCTTGCTTTCAATTTTCGCTGCTCCAATTTTTTCAGCTCGTGTCATTTTCAGGCGAACATCGACGGCGATTTCCGACGGCAATCTCCGAAAAACTACAGAGACTAAGAAGCTTTCGGTTCGTTGCTAGATTCGTGAAGTAGTCGGGTTTCAAAAAGTTAATGGTGTTTGGTTGATCCCAAAGAAAACTAAAAAATCAGCTTTGGGAATCATCTTTTCTTGTTCTTCCCTCTTTTTTTTTTTTTTTGGTAGGAGTTGGAGAAGACAAGTTTGATTGAAGTGTCAAGAGTCTCGATATATATGTATATATATATATTGCAATACTCTGAAGATTGGAAGGAAAAAAACAATTCAATTATCGGCTGAGACGGTCTAATTCTCTATTGACGAGAAATATCTGGGAAAAAAAAAATTCTAATTTCTCACTGTTTGGCTAGTGAATTTGGGGATTTGTTAATGGTTTAGCAAGAAAAAAAAAAAGTCACTTTTCTTTGCAGTTGAAGACCAAGACCAACTTTTAGTTGTACTAAGGTTTTCGAGTAGTAATACTCTGTTTGGATGGATTCAATGACAAAATTGAGTCGATTTCTTACTGAGCTGTGGTGAAGCTATCTTCTATCCATTGTTTCAAATCAAAATGGTGGTGATTAATGGATTTTTGGGTTGAAGACTTGCTACAGACTGACAAGGAAAGGAAACTAATTTGTAGAATCTGGTCACTGAATTTGCAGCTTAGGAGTTGATTAGTATAATTTTGCTCTGTGTATGTCAACATGAAGGCTCCTCCCTCCAATGCTTATCTAGAAAATTCTGGAGAAGGTGTGTTCACTTCTCAGTTTTGATGTTCCTATTCCATTTTGTTTCATAACTGCTTTTTGTTTTTCAATATCTTTGCCTCCCTTGACTGTGGTAAATTAAGCCTATCCACACTTCTCTTGAATTAGGGGAAGGTGGTTAATGCTTCAGTAATACTATTTTCTTCACATTGAGTGCTTGTCAAATACTTGGTGTGATTTTACATATCTAAATTATGTGTAAGTCCTTGTTTTGGTGTGCTGGTATTAATCACCCACCCTGTCTATATCTAACCACAGTTTTTATTCCTGAGGTTAATTTTTTCTGCCCAAACCTAAAATCAGTTTGATTCAAGAACTGTGTCTGTATCTTAGTCTGGCTAAGTTTGTATAGACTGCAAATAATCACTGAATCCCATACTCATGTGCAAGTTGATTAGCCACTTCAATTGGTAATGATGAATGGGCACAGTCATAAAATCTGATCAAGTAGTTTTCAATTTCCTTCTCACTGGTTTTCTGAACTTCATTTTGTTTGTCAAAACAGATCCAGAGATAATATGCTGGTTGTGGAATGTAACACCGAGAATTTTGCTTCATGAACTGCTTTTATGACTTCTAAATATTATCTGTGGTTGCTGCTTGTAATGTGTATGCCATTGGTATAAGTCGCTCTACATAGTAATTGTGTCTAACCTTAAGTTCATTTAACATATTAGTGGATAAGAAGAGAACAAAGAAAGCAAGCAATGAGTAGGTACTGTCTATAGGTTTTTTCATTAAAAGTTATCATATTTTCTTGAGATTTGTGGCTCCTACTGTAATTGCTACGTAAAATACTACATCAACTCTGGAAAAAGGAACGGTATGGCATTATTAATTTATTTAATCCTTTTGATCTTCATGTTGTTATAGCACATTACTAGGAGTAATTTGCCCTAGCTTAACCTGAACTTGTCAGCTATTAATTTATATTCGCTTCAGTCACTTTAGTTTCAATGCGAGAAAAGATGAAGTTTTCAGCGGTGTTTTCTTTGTCAAAGGGTCATTCAAGCTTCTCTCTGGCTCACGGATTCCTCCTGTCTGGCCCTAGTAATTCATTCATAAGCAACTGTTTTATCGCTGACCTTTTTTGCGATTTTATGTACTAACTATAAAAAGAGACTTTTGCTGGTTGTCGCTATCAATCGGGAAAATTGTTACTTTTCCTTTCCTCGGATATGTTTGAATGCATTTTCAAGCTTAAAGGAGCTCTCCTAGTTGCCCTTCAAAATTTTGAAACCTGTAGCAATATAAAGAAATACATAATTACCATTGGTTAAATTAGTCCTCAACTTTTACATTATACCTGTATCTACTTACACTATCCTCGTTCGGATTGAAACAGGAGAAAGGAAGGTTATTAATTCAGAGTTATGGCATGCGTGTGCGGGACCACTGGTTTCCTTGCCTCCCATTGGAAGTCTTGTGGTCTACTTCCCTCAAGGTCACAGCGAGCAAGTATGTTGTCCTATCTTTATTTCTAGAAAATTAGCGAAATCTGGATTCTGGCTTCTGATGGATATTTCTTTGACAACAACTGTAGGTTGCTGCATCAATGAAAAAGGAGACTGATGGCATCCCAAGCTATCCGAACCTCCCTTCCAAGTTGATCTGCATGCTTCACAATGTCACCTTACATGTATGAAAACCTTTACTGTACGATGCAACTGTTCTGCAGAAATGAATTCCTTTGCAAGGGAACTTTTATTCATTCAATTGGGAAAAAGATGACATTCATTCTGACGCATTTTATGCACTGCGTCTATTTGTACTGGCAATGGCCTGAGTATATAATTAAACTGTCTGGATAGATGATAGTTAGTTAGATGGACTATGACTATAATGGGTGCCCAGGGGTGGTGTAGTATTGAGCAATTCCAGTTGCAGATCGAATGAAGTATTGGTGGAATGCCATGATTTTGTGATTTTGAAGTAGGAAAAAGTACTTTATGATTTGGTGAGTTGTAATGTATTTGTTGTTCTTATATTTGGATCAGGCTGATGTAGAAACTGATGAGGTCTATGCGCAGATGACTCTTCAACCTGTAAACAAAGTAGGTCTGCTATTAATTTTAAACGTTAATCAAATATCTTTAGCTGGCATCTCTTTTTCCTTCCCAAGTTAAAATTTATACTTGCCAATGTATCTAAAAGACCATTTGGGATATCTATCCTACAGTATGACCAGGAAGCATTACTTTTATCTGACATGGGCCTCAAGCAAAGTAGGCAACCTGCTGAATTCTTCTGCAAAACACTTACAGCTAGTGACACAAGCACACATGGTGGATTTTCTGTACCCCGCCGAGCGGCTGAGAAAATCTTCCCACCTCTAGTATGTGCAGTATTATTAAATTTTAATTTGTGATTTAAAAACATCATGTGGTCCATGGGGTGTCTTCCTATTCCATGCTTACCAAGAAGGTATTTGGTAGGATTTTTCAATGCAACCACCTGCCCAGGAGATAGTAGCTAGAGATTTACATGACCAAACATGGACGTTCCGACATATATATCGAGGTATTCTCCATTTGGAAGTTTCTTCCTCTCCCCCTCTCTTTCTGTTTTTCTGTGTTTCATGCTCTACTGATGCTTCTGTTAATATCTTTCTGTTGCTTCCAAACCATGATTTTGATTTTCCAGTGGTGGCAGGCCATGTTATATATACATATATATAGTTTTTTCCATGTTTGAAACGCTACTGTTATATTTAGTTTGTATCTTAATAAATTGCAACAGTTTTTCTCTTATCCATCTGGAATATTGTAAGAGTCACAATGATTTTCAGATTGTCAATTGGCTTTAAGTGCTTTTTTTCTTCCTGATATTCTTCCTCATCGGATATGATTGTTGAATACAGAACACTGCTTCTTTTTTCTTTCTTATTTTTTTGGTTAGGTTAAAAAAACTAACATACACTCACACACGCCAACACAATTTTACCCCTTTGGGGCTTGAACCCCTCGCCTCCTCTTTGTGGAGGATTGGTCATACCACCAAGATTCATCTAGGTGGTATCATGGAAATATTGATATTTCTAGTCGTTTAAAAAATAAATAAAAAGATACTGCTCGTTTTGTGTGGACTGCAATTGTGCAAAAGCAGAGTCCCAATATGATATCCTTGTTTACAGATAGATCATGGAAATATTGATTAATTTCTCTTTTGGCAACTGAAGAGATAAAATACCTCCAATATCACAACCATGCTTCAGGAAATGTCTGAAACAATCCTTTGCTATTGCAAGGGACACATTTCATTCCATTGAATGGTTTCATTTAATTTCCAAATTCTTCCAATCCAATCTGCTGCATTCCCATTTCTCATCAAATATGAAATGTTTATGTTGCTCGGAAAAGGAAACATCTGCCATACTAATATTAAACATTTTCCTTGCGAAGACTTAGTTAAACCACTATGTATGTGAGGAAAAGTTGTGTCATAATGCTTTAAGAGTTGAAAATTAAACTAAGACACGTTGATTGAATGTTCTTAATTTCAGGCCAACCAAAAAGGCACCTTTTGACTACAGGATGGAGTGTCTTTGTTAGCTCTAAACGACTCTTTGCTGGTGATTCTGTCCTTTTTATAAGGTACAAGAAAGATGATTGGTAAAATAATATCTGTGGATCTATATTATCCTTCCTGTCACTGAGCCAAGGAAATCTGATTGGATGCAGAGATGAAAAATCACAGCTTCTCTTGGGTATAAGACGTGCCAATAGACAGCAGCCTGCCCTCTCCTCATCAGTCATATCCAGTGACAGCATGCACATTGGAATTCTTGCTGCTGCAGCTCATGCTGCTGCAAATAACAGTCCATTTACTATATTTTACAATCCAAGGTACTGCAATAACATATTTGACGCTATTCTTTAATGTGATTGAGTTTCCAGAACTTCTCTGACATCACATTTTGAGTTTTTTTTTACTAGGGCCAGCCCTTCTGAGTTTGTGGTTCCCCTAGCCAAGTATAATAAAGCAATGTATACTCAAGTTTCATTAGGCATGCGGTTTAGAATGATGTTTGAGACCGAGGAGTCAGGAGTACGCAGATACATGGGCACAATCACTGGTATCAGTGAGTTGGATGCTGTGCGATGGAAAAATTCACAGTGGCGCAATCTTCAGGTATTGTTTTGTGATTTGATGACTTTCAAATGCATGAACTATAAATTTCTAATATTATCAATGTTGTATGCTACCCTTGAACACTTCTAGCATGTTTTGTGCATAATCATAGCTTCTAGTTAACAAGCAAGGAACATATTGGTATGTCTTGTCTTTTAGGCTGTTTGTGTGTGAGCCATATGAATGGATTTGAAGATTCAGAGTCCTTAAGATGTCTGGTCGGAATATGGGAAGACATTGATTGTATGTTCACATGCATTTCTTCCTTCTCTCCAAACCCTATGGGTTCATGGATTCAACAACATTAATTTTGCATTGCCACTACAGCACGTTAGAACATAAAAAGAAAATGTTTAAAAGAAGAGAGAGAGAGAGAGGGAAAGAAAAAGAGGGAACATAAAGAACCCCAAATTTGAATCTCTGGTAAGTTGCTAAATGTTTTCATGTCTTTGGCTCCATTCTTTCACAAAATAATCCATCTTTTTCCGGTTTATTTGTTTTGTAATGAAAAATATAGGGTTTTGTCTCCTCTCCAACTCTCTCTCCATTAGGTAGGATTTTTTTGGCCCAAGCACTAATTTGTTGAGGAGAAACTTATCCAATTCAGAGTTGTTGATGTTTATACCGATCGATTTTCTTCCATTTTTGCATTGGCATTTACTTCTTTATTCATACTCATGCAGTATGTTATCTAGGTTTCTCATGTTCTTGGCTATTCTGGTACCCTAACCTTCATCCAACCTTGGTTCCATATAGCTCTCATCCGCTAAATATTCAAGTAATATTTGTCTGTAAACTTTGTTTTCTGTTTTTAGCATTAGCATTATAAACCAATTAACATTTATATTATTGATAGGTTGGATGGGATGAATCAACTGCTGGTGAACGTCCTAGTCGAGTTTCAATTTGGGAAATTGAGCCTGTTGTGACTCCTTTCTACATATGTCCACCTCCATTTTTCAGACCCAAGTTCCCCAAACAACCGGGGTTGCCAGGTAACTAAAATTTACCACTAAGGTATCTCCTGTTGTGTGTTTGATGTAAAGTGAGTTTTACCTGCCATCCAGTCTTCATTTGAGAAGAGAACATAGGGAGGAGAAATGAAAAGAAAAGAAAAATTAAGAAGAAGAAAAGAAAAACTTATCTGTTTGGTTACAGAAAAATAAAGTGAAAGGATGGAAGAAAACTAATGGGCTCACCATTATTCCTTCACGGTATGCTTTGATTTTGTATTTGTCCCCAGTTCACTCCATATCACCTCAGTTTCAAAATGAGAATTCTTTTGGGCCGGGAGCAACATTCTCTCACCTAATCACTATATTGCTTTCCTTTTTTCTCCTCATTAGGTGAACCAAACACTGATGATGTCTTAACAATTCATCCTCTCCTCTTTCCTATAACAAAATGACGAGTCAAGAAAGATATTTATTTTACAGAAACTATTTTTGATTCATTAGTTTGTCTAGGGGCTCTAGTATCTATCTATATTTTCCTTACTTGAGGGTTCCTTTGCAGATGATGAGTCTGAGATGGAGAATTCTTTCAAGAGAGGCATGCCCTGGCTTGGAGATGAATTTGGCATAAAGGATGCCTCTAGCTCAATCTTCCCTGGCATGAGTTTAGTGCAGTGGATGAACATGCAACAGAATCGTCAGTTTCCTGCCGTTCAATCAGGATTCTTTCCGCCTATTGTTTCTTCAAATTCCTTGCACAATAACCTTGGCACTGATGATCCCTCGAAGTTGTTGAACTTTCAGAATCCTGCCCTTTCTACACCAAATGTCCAGTTCAACAAAACAAATCAACAAAATCAACAACTTGGTCAATACCAGCAGTCAGCTCTAGCATGGTCCCAGCAGCAGCTGCAACAACTGTTGCAGTCTTCTATTAATCCACAGCAGCAGCAACAGCTGCAGCAGCGCCAGCAACAACAGCAGCAGTCACAACAGATGCAGCCGCAACAGCAACAACGACCACAACAACAGCAACAGCAGCAGCAGCAACAACAGCAACCGCAGCAGCAACAACAACACATATTGCAACCATCTCTTGTAAATAATGGTGTAATTGCCCCCAACCACACCGCAAACCAAAATTCACAGCAACCAGCTATATACTCCCAACTTCAGCAACAACAACTACTGACAGGGAATACGCCATCCAAGCAAAACAATCCTCCTGCTAACAGGAATTCATTTCAGCTGACATCCTTGCCACAAGACTTGCAGTTTCAGCAACAAATGGAACAATCTAACCTTTCACAGAGGCAACAGCAGACACCATTGCAGCAGACCCCATCACAATTGTATCAACATAGCCTGTTGCAGAGTCCACAAGTTCACCATATGTCGCAGCAGTCTCTCTCGGAGCATCAGCTTCAGCTACAACTGCTGCAAAAATTGCAGCAGCAGCAGCAGTCGTCATCGCAACAACTGCTGTCCCCAGTAAGCCCTCCTTTGGAGCCTCAGATGCCACAGCAACAGCAGGCCCATCAAGTCCGGCAATTGCAACAGATGCCTTTGTCTCAGCATCAGCAGCAGCAACTTAGCTGCAACAGCTTGTCAACTTCACCTCTAATGCAATCACCACAATTTCCTATGAACCAACTTCAGGGCCAGCACAAACAAATGAGAGCCCATTCTGGTCTTACAGATGGGGATGCTCCATCATGTTCAACTTCACCGTCTACAAATAATTGCCAGGTATTCCCATCGAACTTCCTGAACAGGAATCAACAAAGGCCAACCGTATTGGTGGAGGATTTGGCAGTTGATCCTGCTACTAATATGGTTCAAGAGCTACAAAGCAAGTCTGAAATCCAGATCAAACATGAATTGCCCAGCACAAAAGGGCTAGAGCAACCAAAATACAAAGGTACTGTTACCGATCAATTGGAAGCTTCGTCATCCGCAACATCATATTGCTTGGATGCGGGCAGCCTCCAGCAGAATTTTTCACTCCCTGGTTTCTGTATGGATGGGGATGTTCAATCTCATTCCAGAAACAATCTTCCCTTCACTGCTAATATTGATGGTTTGCAACCTGATGCTTTGTTGTCAAGGGGTTTTGATTCTGGAAAAGATATTCAGAACTTGCTTTCTAATTATGGTGGTGCACCCAAAGATATTGAGACAGAGTTGTCCACTGCTGCAATCAGTTCTCAGTCATTTGGGGTGCCAAACATGTCCTTCAAACCAGGTTGTTCAAGTGATGTGGCCATCAATGAGGCAGGGGTTTTGAATAATGGGTTGTGGGCTAATCAGCGCATGCGAACATACACAAAGGTTTCCACTTATCCAATTCAGAAATAACCAAAAAAGATTAACAAACAAATGAAATGGTAGTTTGCGTTATTAATATGTTTCCTTTTTATTGTTTTACTTACATTGTTAATTGCATAATACTTTTTGAAGGTCCAAAAACGTGGCTCAGTTGGAAGAACCATTGACGTCACCCGTTACAAGGGGTACGACGAGCTCAGGCATGATTTGGCCCGCATGTTCGGAATTGAAGGGCAGCTAGAAGATCCACAAAGAACTGAGTGGAAACTTGTCTACGTAGATCATGAAAATGACATATTACTTGTTGGTGATGACCCCTGGGAGTAAGTCGTGCTGAACAACATGGTATTTCTTGTGTTTTGTCTTCCTACTTTACTTTTTAGTGTTCTCAAACTTCCAATTTCCAAATTGTTCTCAGGGAATTTGTGAGTTGTGTCCAGAGCATAAAGATACTGTCAACTGCGGAGGTTCAGCAAATGAGTTTGGACGGAGATCTGGGCCATGTGGCAGTCCCCAATCAAGCTTGCAGTGGTACTGAAAATGGGAATGCATGGAGAGGACAATATGATGATAACTCAGCTGCATCGTTCAATCGATAAATAGTTCATAATTCGAAAACTAAGCTGGTAATGTCTATCGACATCAAGCCTTTTGAAGTTCTGAATGAACTTTCTGCCTTAAGATGAGGAAGAAAGCCCCTTCTTCTAAGGTGAAATATGGATACAGCGTAATGACAATTGAAGAGTTATAATTGTATTCTTCTCTTCGATCCTGTACACCACATGAATTCCATTTTCATGGTTAGGAAACTGAGGGCTTCTGCAGATGTGCCTCATAGCCAGCTGTTGGATACTTGGATGCTTTAACTGACAATGATCCAAAAGTTCCATCTCATTCAACTTTATAATCTTAGGATCTGCTTTCATGCACCTCGTTGCATCGGAAGGTGAAAGGTTTAGCTTTGGTCAATCCAGAAAGTAGATGGAGCACTTGATCTTGTAAAAACTACTACTAATTTTAGGTTAACAGACTTCGGTTTCATTAATGGGGTCTAAATTTTACAAGGAAGAACTGCACAAAATCGAGCATTTCGTTTTCCACTCACATTCCTTTGTAATCCCCAGCAATTCCACAATCTAAATGTATCTATTCCTTCCTCCCTCTCTCTCTCTCTCTCTTTCTTCTATTTTCCCTCCCTCTATTTTCTTTCTTCTGTTTTTTTCACATAGATTGTAGGAATAAGTTTTTTGATCAAAATTCCAGAATCTGGATAATAACGGACTAGAATACTGGAAACAACACTCTGTTCCAATCCCAGAATTATGTGATTGACTGTGACACAATGTTCTCTTCTAAAGCCCAGAATTACCATAAAATAAAGTGAAATTTGATTTCCGGGTTTAGACATGTAAACATTAATTAAGAACATCCAGTTCAACAAACAATAACAGAAAAGAAAAATAGAGGAGAGAAGAAACAGCAAAGAATAAAAGACTATTACAGTTGGCTACAAAAATATAGTTGCTGTGGACATATTTAAGGTGTGATCACAGTGATATCGTCATATCTTGTGAGGAATTTGCTGGAAAAACTAGTGATTGAACAAAAAACACAAACACATATGGGTGCAGAATTAAGAAAGCACAGCCATCACATCAGATGCCCTGAGAGCTATGTAATCTGCCCCATCACTGCCCTTGAAATCATTTCCTGCATACTTGGAGAACAAAACTGTGTTTCCAGGAGTGACAGACAGTGGTTTCCTGTTGCCTTCCTCGTCCAGAGGACCAGGCCCTACAGCAATCACCTGTCATCCAACAGAAAAATAATTACAACCCTAATTACCTTAAAAAGCTTTCGACTGTCAGAGAACATTTATTCAAATATACAAAAATAATGCCATTGGACAGGAAGAGAAGGTGAGGGAAAATTAAAGCAACAAACCACCTTAACAAAAAATTGTGTACAAGAATGTGCATTCAAGCATTACACAAATGGCGGCTTCGTCAGCGGATGAAGAATAAAAAAGGTTTTTTTTTTTTGGAATAAAAAATTATTGATGCGCTGAGTTCTCAAGTTAAAGAAAATATATCTTACTGTGCCAATGGAAGGCTTCTCCTTGCTTGCCCCTGTCAGCAACAAGCCTCCAGCAGTTTTTTCCTCAACCTCTGCGACCTGCTCAAATTTAAACACGTGACAGTTCCAAATTGTTTTTAAGGGAAATTACAATAAGAACAAAGCACAAGACAAAAGAGAGAAAGTAACATTAATGCGATTCGACTTTCAGAAAAATAGAAGCAGGAAAAGGCTTCTGTTTGGCCTGGTAACAAATGCAACAATTGATATTGTGCTTGCAGCATAAGATGGGGAATACAGCAGTAGCAACAGTTTTCAAATCTTCAGATTATGCAATCACGAAAGCAGGTTCTTTGAATTTTCAAGGAAAGATTAAAGATGCTAGCATTGCTTTTTCTAAGTATCCCATATTAAATCACCAAACTAGCAAAACAAATAATTTGGAAGGATGAGAAACCTTGATCAAAACTCTATCATTCAAGGGCTTCAAATCTTTCACATCATCTGTCTCAAGAATACCAACAATGTCGTCCTCTTTCAGTATGAGATGATTTGAACCATTGAACTCCACCTCAGTCCCAGCATACTTGGAATATACCACCTGAGCACCAGTCTACATAAGAAATTTAGTTAGCAAAACACTTAAAGAAGACACAGCACCTAAGAAAATAATAGAAAAAATAATAAACTGAACAATTACCTTCACACTGATGTCCACCTTATTCTTTTCTATTGTCTTACCCTCTCCAACAGCAACAACCTCGCCTCCTTGAGGTTTTGTTTGTGCTGTCATTGGAAGTAAGATACCTCCTACGCTTTTCTCTTCTGCAATCTTGATCTTGACCAGCACTCTATCACCCAATGGCTTGATGGAACTGTACTGAGAGATCAGAAGGGCCAAAATTAAATGAGGAAAATATATTCATGAAATGGCCGAATAAAAGCTTTGTTTGTAATACATTGGGAACAGACGGATTCAGTGCAATAACCATTTCTAGCAGGTGCAGTGTTAATAAAGGCCCAAGGCGCACCAAGGCGCTAGAGGTCCTTTGGAGCCTAGGCGCACGGCGAGGCGCACAATTGAAAATTTAAACTACCATAATAACATTCATATCTCATAAGTCATATCAATATTCTAAAAATTAATAACAAATATAAAAAAGTAAATCCATTAACTATACAAGCATCCAACAACCATAAAACAAAGCACAAATTTGTTTTCTTGAAAGGCAAAGCAAAATGAGTTTTTTTATTGGCAAAACAAAGCACAAAAAGATATAAATATGCTAACAAAAAAAAGACAGAGAGAAGAGAACTAGACAGAGAGAGATGTAAACAAAGATAAGAAGAGAGGGGAGATCTAGAGAAGGAGAAGAGAAAAAAAGAAAGAAAGAGAGAATTGATGTGGCTTTGTCGTTCATCTCTGCAACTAAGGCTTTGTCTTCGCCTCACAATCTCATTCTATTCTTTTGTACAAAATTCCTTCTATCGTATGCTTGGGCTTTCTTTTTTGTTTATTAAGTTGCCAAAAGTACCCTTTTTGGCTTAAGAAATAGAACAATCGTATTTTTTAACCAAATATCAGTGAGGCGCGCCTCACAAACAGGACAAGGCGCAACAGAGGTGCATGCCTAGTAAACATCAGTGAGCCTGGGATGACAACAGGCACTAAACCTGAGCCTCGAGCCTAGGCGCGCCTTTAACAACACTGAGCAGGTGGTGAAGTCTCAGCCAAGATTCGAAATAAAATAAAAGGAAGAAATAAAAGTTTCCAGTTTCCACATTCCACTATCACTAAAGAGTCAAAAAGAAACTCCTACCAACCCAAACTTTTTTCACTTTTATCTAAATGAATGAGATTGTAGTTGAAGATTGTTGATGATAAAGCCAAAATTAACAAAAATGCTGAGGGACAAATGAACAGGCAAGGTGAAACATGACCATGTCAACAAGGGGAGGGAAAAAAAAAAAAACTATGTGCTCTCTTTTGAAGACTAAGGTTTATTAAACCAAGAATCAAGTATAAAAACAAGAGATCCTGTACTCTCAAGCGTTCAAGGATGGATGGTAACCCAACCATTTTTGCTCCCCATAGTAGCAAATGGGTTAAGTAACAAACAATATCAGAACACTATCCATCACCATAGAAAGTTCGTACTGCATTAAGAAAATGGAAACATTTGTTATAACAGCAAGAATTTGCAGATTGAAATTCCCAAAACTACCAAGAGCTTAGCTCAAATGGTAGTGTCTCCTCCTTCCAAATGGAAGGTTGAGGGTTCAAATCTCCAACGGAGCAAGTGGGTGTGCACGCGCACCCTTCACCTACTAAAAAAGAAATCTCCAAAACCAACCAAAAATCTACAAAAGTAGCAGAGTTAGCCACATTGTTAATCCAACTCAAATACTACCACCAAGACATGAAAACAACCCAAAAACTTAGTGGATAGTAATTGAAGCCAACCTAGTTTTGCAGCAATTTAATTGGTAGCATATACGTGCAGCTAAAAAAATTGCAGCTAATCCAACTCAAATACTACCACAAAGACATGAAAATAACCCAAAAACTTAGTGGATAGTAATTGCAGCCAAACTACTTTTGCAGTAAATTAACTAATAGCATTTATGTGTAGCTACAAATACCAAAATGTTATGTTTGGCAGCACCGAATCTGTACTTTGGATTTGGAATTGGAGAAAGTTTAGTTCAAATTTTGTACTAAATTTTCTCCAATCCAAAATTCAATGCGCCGGTTTGGTGCCCAAACATAGCAAAAGGGTATTGGGTATATTACTATGAATGAATAAAGAGGAGAATTTTAGTAATACCTTCGGGGCAACAACAGTGGCAGCTTTCACGATAAGGCTGCGGAAAGGAGCACCTTGCCTCAATGGTGCAAAGGAAGTGAGCTTCACTCTCGATGCCCTAAGCCTCTCAAATGAGTTTGAGGGCGAAATAATAGACGATGCAGTCGTCAATTGAGCAGCTGTCGCCATTCCTGATATATACATATATGTATATATATGTTATGTGTATATATATATATATATATATATATATAACCGAAATCATCATACATATACAAGTTGGAATAGCTAGAGAACATATCTTACCTTTTGGGTCTTAGAAGGTACTTGAATTGAAGAAGCAGGTTGTAGTTTTGTATAGAAAGTTGACTGTGATTGGCCCTTAGCTAGAGATACGTTAGTCTTAGCTACTGCAGCTTTTGAATTGGAGAAGAAGAAGAAGAAGATAACAACCCTAAAAGAGTTCAATGCAAATGTAGAACACAAGGTTTTAATATGCAAAAGATAAGAAAGATCCAAAATTCTGGCGCAGGTTAGACAACTGAGACTGAGATTGCTATTTTACGCGATGGGTTTGGAAAGGCATGGGCGCAGCAGTATTGGAGCAAAACTTTTGATGGATCAACATCCGCCTGATTTAGTGGGTCCGGATCTCAAACTAGAACGAACACAACCCAAAAAAGGTGAACCACGAGATCATAAGCCCCGTTCAGTTAGCCTCAATGGGCCAAGTGGATAACTGTTGAATCAGCCAATTACTTTCGGTAGAGAGTCCGTTGGGCTCCACACGTGTCTCAGCCCCATACACACCGAAGTGCGTACGAGACTCTCCATCTCGAAGAGCCCTCGTCTCCAAGGCCGCATCTCTGCGCATCATGGCTCGGGGACTTTCCTGAGTCTGAGCCCGCTAGTGCGGAATCACAACCCAGCCACTTCGTCCCGTGGTTGATGTTGGCTTCTATTCCTTTCCCACCTAATATACCTCAAATATTGCGCCTATTTAACCGATGTGGGAATAAGTATAACTGGCTTCTCCACAATTGTTTTTCAATAACATTTCGTGCAAACGCAGTTTGATACTAGTGAGAAGTGTATCAACCATGGATTTGAGAATACCCAGACGATCTATCTAATGTTGTTGGAACAGGGACTGTGAACTATAGGTTTCGTCTTGTTTGTTTGATGAACTATGGATTGGTCCCAGTGGTTTGTCAACTAATAGGATTCAAAATTGTTTTTGTTTTCAGGTCTCGAGTTTGGTTTTTGAGATTTGTTGACACCAAATAATGTAATTTGTGACCATTCTGGACTTTCTTTAGAATCACCGAACAAACGCCTTGAAATGCATTATGAATTAAAGGCCAAACTGACACCAACTAATGGGATATCCATTCCAAGCCTTTCACAAATTGGGATATATGATTTTTCTTATAATTTGAAGAAAGTCCAGTGAGAAATTACACTAATAGAGACTACAATAGTATCGTAGTAGTTTTTCGTCTTTCAAAGTACAAGATTGAAATTTTAAGTTTATGTAAAAGTATATAAATGTATTTCTTATTGAACTTTAACAGAGCAATCAATTTTTTGATATCAAACACTTTTTACATCATTTAATGATGCCAAAGTAAAAAATTGAGGGTTCAAGTTTACTTAATTTTTTGATATCAAACACTTTTTACATCATTCAATGATATCAAAGTAAAAAATTGAGAGTTCAAGTTTACTTAGGAACACCTAAGTATGTTTCAAGCCGATTAAAAATTATATATACATATACTCATATTAAACTTCGTCCCAGCCACCGTTCTTGAATATCAGGCACTGTTTTCATCATCCATGATGGGGATTCTATCCCTAATTTCATGAGTTTTTTTTACCGGTAACACCATCGGATTCATCTCTCATTTTTATTCCATTTGTAATAAAACATTCTGGAAGGATTTTGATAGTTTCAATAATTTTGTTTTATATACTTTGATCGCCCAAAATCTACATTTTACTGGTTTGAAGGGGAAATATACACTATTATCACAATGGAAGTTTATTAATTATTATTTATTATTGTTATTAATTTAGCATAGCAGTGTTAGCCACAATTAATCACAATTCTGACTTAGTTAAGGTGTGCCGAAAATCACTGCTTGTATTTCTACAAAGACAAAATTGAATTCATTTTCAACCATTATTCTTAAATTAAAGAAAATAAGGTACATGTGCAATTTAATTATATTAAAAATATATTATTATAATATCAGACTAAAAAACAATACTAATATAATAATTTAATTTATAGATGTCGACGTCCAAGACGGCATAATAAAGTTGAAAACTTAAAATTTTATCTTTAAAAAAAAGAGATTTTAATAATTATCCAAAAAAATTTAAGCATGACAATGAAATGTGACAAGAAATTATATTTTATTATTAAATGAATATTCGGACTTATCTTTATTGGATAGATTTTAAGTCAAAATTGAAGCCCAATGTATTGTCCAGTCAATGGTCATGTGGGTCCGTAAAATTAAATGGTTATGAGACTCGTAGAATCTAGATGTGATATTAGTGAGTCAGCTTCTTTGCATAAACGTTGGTAACTGAGAAACCTGGGCTGGTGGTTTTGAGCACATCTTATTTAACAACAACATAAATCAAGGGGCGAAAATTTATTTTTAACTAAAAAAAAGGGGTGAAAATTTATTTGTCCCCAAATAGCTGTAAAGTAAAAGATGTTATCCCATCAATACCCCATCTCTGATGTTTCCTTTATTTATTTTTTGAAAAAAATAAAATTAAAGAAAGAAATAAATATGAAGAATAATATTTGCGCTTTTTTTTAACCTTATGCACTTTAATTTTTTAAAGTAATATAAAATAGAATAGCTTAATTATCCTTCAAAAATATTCTTATGCTTCACAACTATTTCATAAATTATTTTAAACCTCACTTTTGATTAATAATTGTCTAATTATTGTGAAATAACTTGGCATTTATAATTTTTATGATCAAAATCTTTGGAATGGGTCATTTTAAATTGAAAATTTTGTGAGTATTCGAGTCCCATGGAAACAAAAATAATGTGTACGTGTGTGTGTTTATTTTAAATTAGTTCAAAATATTGCTTGGGAAAGAGAAAGAATAGTAAAAATTATATATATATAGAAAGAAATAAACAGAAAGAAAAATTAGATAATATTTATAGGAGTCATGAATTTGGTAGGAACGGAAAGGATAGTTTAGTAATTTTAAGTCAATAAAACAACTTGAGTGGTGGTGGTTGGGCCACACCAAAAATGGCTTCGGCTACAAAACCATGGGCCCTATTTTCTGTGGGCACATTTTCAGACGTCAAGAAAGTGTGATACGCAGTACTAACTTTAAACGGTGATAAAAATACACTTCACTTTTTAATATAAGCTTTACTACTCTTTATTATTCTTAATTCAATTCACACAAATAAGAAAATTTTAAATATTTTCGGTATTAAGCATTAATTAAATATTAGTAATATATAAATAAAAATACATTTATGTTTTGTAAATCATTTCACTGTGTATTAGTATTTAATTAGCACGTGATAAAGTCTGTTTTTAAAATTATTTTGTGATTTTATACATTATTATTTTTAATATAGAATTAAAACATATTATTTGATGAATTGAGTTGTACTTTTCTAATTTTATGATTTAATCAGGATTAAATTTGTGATTCAAGTAGGAGTATGGTTTTAACTTTTATGCCATTACATTATTCTTATTGCTTTTCATTATGGTGCAGAAAAAGAGGGCAGTGGCGGGGGCTATTACGGGTATGGCGATGGCACTCACGTCGGATGATTCTTCTCATGACCAAATTGCTATTACCGGTGCAGCCATCTCAACTGCTGCAAACCTCCTTACAGGGATATTCTGAGCTGGTGTTCATGCCAACCTAGGAATTAATACAGTATTGCTCTATCCTAATATCAGACCTGTCTAGTAACTAGTAATTTATGATTTTCGCTTTCTATTATCACCATTTTCGGTGGTGGTTTAATCAATGGTCTTCAATGGTTTTTTTTAAAATGAATGGCTTAGAACTCCAAAACTGGGTTTATTTTTTGAGTAATGATAGAGAATTTAAACGAAATCACTGAATTAATATCGAATTGAAATAAACGAAAATAGATTAAATTCAATATTTATTCATCGATCTTTCCATCATTATTCTCTTTTTTTTTTTTTTTTTTTGAGCAAAAACGTAACGGGTATATGTAGCCTGTCAGACAACTGCACGACCACCCCAGCCAGATGGAACCGGCTGAGAACGATCCTCTACTGCTCTGATGGTCCATCGAACCACAGGGCTGTTAATCACGCTCTGGTCATGCAGTCATGGTTCATCCACCAGACTTAGGTTCCTGTCTCCTTAGTAATCAAGGATGCAGAAGTACGAGCCTATAGAACAGATCCTGTTCAAGTAAGGTCGTGCTAGTATGCGTTAGCCTCGCCTTATAAATACTCTTCATTTTTCCACTTCTTTGTCGATGTGGGACGCTTTAAATACCACTTCTTATAGACCGTGTAGTACATTCTTTTAAATACTAGACCGTCGTAGTATTATTCAAATATGTTTCAAGTGGGGGAATATGCATCTAATTAAGTTCTTGCTCATGTTCTGATATGTTTAATTAAGTGAAATGCACCCTCGTCATACATCATAATGGGGCAGCAAATTGTGCTTCTTTGCTCTAGTTTACCACACATGGAAAGAAAGGAATGTTGGAATTTTCGTTGGAAATTCTCTTCTCAGAGCTCTCTGTCATGACCAGAATGTGTAACTCCATAACTGTGCTGCCACTCGTTGCATCCTTTTTGACTGGGATCACCCTCTGTCGTTCTTCAGAGCTCCTCCACGGCCTCTAGATTGAGGAATTGAGAATCTTTGAGCTCTGCTAGCCTTCAATGGCTCCTTTACCCGATAGATTGTATTTGCTCTAATTTGGGCATTTTTTGTTCAGTTTTTAAAATTGGATCTTGCATTTCGAGTTAGCGAACCTCCTAAATCCACTGATCAAGTTATTAAAATTTTTATTTTTTATTTTTATGTATATTAGGCTGTTTATTTCACAAAATATAAAGAAAAGCATTATTTAGATGAATAATGCAGGAGATTTTTCTTAAGGATGTGAGCATGAAGATTTTTGTGTTTGACAAGGCCAAAAAGGGCAATTACATGCATTAATTGTCTAATGTCGCATATTGTGAAGATGATTAACGTTGCCATGAAGTTGAATGAAATGAAGGTTGATATACCTAAATCTTATTTTGGGATCTATTCCTTCACAATTGTATTCCCTTCAACCTTGTATAATACTTAAAAAGCTAAATGGGAGTTAGATGAGACCATAACTATTTTGGTTTTAGAGGTGTTAGGAAAATAATTCATGTATTGGCACATTTCTCATCAAAACTAGTTGTCATTATAATTTGACAAAAA